TTATTTTTAAATGTGTAATTTTAGTAGTTTATATTGTTGCTCTTGATCCTGGAAACAGAAATATTTTGTATAAACCCAACTATAAAACTTCCAAAAAAATATGTAATGCCCAGGTCCTGAACTCTGGCAAAAAGATATGAAATGGATTTTGAACAATAAGACCTAACATAAGGATTGGTGTTCTCCTACATTCCAGTTCATCCTCACTGAATGACCTACGAATATCTGGAATAGAAGACTGCTCTTCTTTAAGGTGGCCACTTAGGCAACACTGAGAACAAAAAGCATAAATATGTATTAAAATTATACATGCTAATTGTATGCATTGGTGCACATTTAGAAATAAACTAGCATTTAAATAGAAATATATCTCATTGTAGTGAATAAAACAGTGCACTATATGTTTGCTGAGACTGATTTTTGGGTATTATTGACTGGAAAGTTCAGAGCCCTTGTGTTTTTCTTTCTTTCTTTCCCTTAGCTTTATCTTTAAAACAGCCTTGGACCAGAGAAAAATTCAGATAGAGGACACTTCCAATACAGGGCTTTCCTCTGTACACAAAAACATGTGGCCACCCTGCTCTCCTTTAGTATAAGGTACTAACACCGATCCATTAATATGTTCTAGAGGTAGAACGCAATAGAAGGATTGTAGTCATATTACCTCCCCTCCTTGAATAGTCAGATTGAGAAAGTGTTTTCGAAAGAATGCATTTAAACCTGACAACTGTATCTTGTAAATGTTAATACGGCAGAAAACCATGAGTGAAATTCTTTTGAACTCTCAAATCCATATTAGGGCAAACCTATTATTAGGCCAACCAAAATGTCACAAAGGAACTCTTGATCATTAGCCCAAGGGAGAAGCTCTTGGAGGTTGCATTCCAGTGATGGAATGGGTCCGAGACTGCCAGTAACTAAGAAAAGGCTTTTCAAAGCCAGGAAAACACCAAACAATTGGTGGTTGGAGGATAGGGGTGGAGCCAGGAAAGGAGCATAGCCTTCTGGGGAAACCTGGATGGCCAAATTCTGCCTGAAGCTGAGGTTCTTCACCCCTGAACTAGATAGTGTTGGAACTCACAATGCTTTATTTCTCTGCTCTCCATCTGTTACCTGGATCTGTTCACATCACTAGGCAAAACATTCAGATCTCTCAGTAGGTGGAAAACAGGAGAGAGAAACTGGAATGTTTATATTAACAAAGCAGGAGATTAATTTTAAGTGTTAAACATATTTTAGGAGTCAATACAAGCCAATTCTATTGATTTTTTAAGAGATGAGGGAACTTCATGCCCAACACCTTTAACTTTATTCTTAATGTTAAGCTTAATCCAGATAAGACAGAGATACTGTTGGTGGGGGTATCCTCAGTCCAGATGGGTGACATTACACCTGTCCTCAGTGGGGTTGCATTTCCCCTAAAGGACAGGGATCACAGCTTGGAGGTGCTCCTGGATCTCCAATTATTACTGGAATTCCAGGTGGATTCAGTGGCCAGGAGCACCTTTTATCAGTTGAGAATGATCTACCAGCTGTGTGTCTGGACAGGCAGAACCTTGCTACAGTTATTCACACTCTGGTAACCTCTCATCTGGATTATTGCAATGCTCTCTATGTTTGGGTACCTTTGAAGATGGTCCAGAAACTTCAATTGGTCCAGAATAGAGTGCTGAGGTTGCTGACAAGGACTGGCAGGTACGAGCATTTAATGCCAGTCCTCCACTATCTCCACTGGTTACCAATTGAAATCCAGGCCCAATTCAAAGTGTTGACATTAATATTTAAAGCCCTGAATGGCTTGGAGTCAGGATATCTTAAGGAACTCTTTCTCGCATATGTTCCTACTCAGGCCCTTAGGTCATCTTCAGAGGTCCTTCCTAAGGATCCCTCTTTCAAGGAGATAAGGATGGGGATAACAAGGAGGGCCTTCTTGGCAGTGGCACCCCAACTTTGGAATCAATTCCCCAAAGAGATTCCCCTGGTGCCATTTCTCTCCTCTTTTCATGGCCAAGCAAAAACCTTTTTACTTGGTATTTTAATTGTTAAAGAAAATGTTAAAGATTTTATGGTATTTTACAGTGATTGTTTATATTTTAGTGCTATTGTACTTTTTATTGTTTTTATTGCTTAAGAACTGAGGTTATAGGGAGGTTATTGTGAGGTTTTATTGTAGGGGGGTTTGTTGATGATAGTTGTGATGTTATTACTGTTAAATTAATATTATTTAATTATGTATTTGCTGTTTTATAATATACTTTGTAACCTATCCTGAGAGCTATTCTGGTGATGGGGACAGGATAAAAACCAATAAATAATGTTCTGCATCATACAATTAAAGTTTCTTCCCCCTCAAGGGTTCCCTCTCCTGGTTGTTCTTTTGCCTGCAGTATCCAGCAGCATAACTGAAAAGGGGGCAGAACACAGTGGCAGCATCTCAAAACACTAAAGCATAAACAGTTTTCATTAGAAAATCAGGGACATGCTGGGCTTTAAGTCAAAATGTTAACCTGGTACAGTTCAGTACATGTTGTCACATAATGCTGAACAGTATGATAGAAGCATAAAAACCAAATAATAAACTATGCTTTTGAAGGTAATATGGGTAGTAATATTCTTCTTTAAAGACTACATTATTCTATATCGTTACGAGTTTGTCAGCTAATGTTTTAATTAATGAATAAGTAGTGTGTAACGTGAAGGGCACACCTGTCAAGACTATTTTGGTTCTGGTTTCTCCCTTTTGTAAGAAATGAAAAAGATGTCCCTTCCTTCAGAAAATGGTTTGTTTTCCCATATTGCTTTTTAGATCTACAAATGCATGTACAAGAGGCAAATTTATTTAAATAAGATTATCAACTAAACATTCTTGTTTCAACATTCTTTTGAGTTTTCTTTTAGCACTTCAAACATTTCTATTTGGTGAAATAGTGTAACCCTGTCTTCTAGTAACCCTTTAGAGTAACCCTGGGTCTCCTAGACACTGTCTAGGGACCATAGGATTTTTTTGGAGTCCCAGCTCTGATACTGGAAAAGAACTCCAATCCGAGAACTTCAGTTCCATGTTTGAAGCACCCTTCCTCCACAACTGGTGTGGAAACAACCATATTACCTACATCATGTAAGTGACCTTGGAGGAATTTCAGGGATTGACAAGCAGAGAACAGCCACTAGGCATGTATCGGTCCCCTTCCCTCCCACTCCAAATTGCTTCAGTTAGATGGCTGAAATCAGCAGTCTAGTTTTTTGCAGAATGGCAAGTTCTTCTCCCACCCTGCAAAGGCTGTCCACAATCCTGAGTTCAGAGAGTTACAGGCACCTGCACTGGGCTGAGCCCTTAATGAATCAACATCATTTGTACACAGAACTCATTTTCTTGTTATTGAATGCTATTACATGGCTTCTGATATCTCCAGTGCAGTCTAGGGAGCTAGTTCTCATGGCCTGTGTTGCTCCAAAATGGTCTGTAAACACAAGGCCAATTTACTTTCAGCAACACTTGTGCCTACTGAGTTTCATACATCACCTGACCAAAAGGTATCATTTTGTTTTGCTATCTTTATTCCTCACATTAACCCTGTGAAAGTTACTATTTCAGTGAAGTGAGATTTAAACCAACTTTGCTAGATCCATTCTCTAGACTAGAACACTAACTCCAGTTATTCTTTCAATCTGCTTAAGTCATACGTTAAAAATAACTTTAATGAGGTTTGCTCTAGCGGAGTGCTCTGAAAACAGGTATTCAGTCTTTACTTTTCATGCCTTTAAGCATATGTAAAATGTTGACTGAAAATTTCAAAAACTTATGGATATAGCCTCTAACATGTATGCATATTTCTGTATGTTCTTAAAATTTAACTATGCTTCCCAAAGCTGCCTTACAAGGAGCAAGGTGAGCTTTAGCAGTTAGGCTCAATCCTGTGCTTATTTTTGCTGAAATAAATTGCACTAAGCCCAATAATATTTACAGCCAAGTAGATGTTTATATGAATTTAGCCTAATTGACAAATATGCATTATGAAGCAGCCTTATATGTCTTGAAGGCCTCAAGCCGAGGTCTGTCTTAATCTGGCTACACAGTCCTTTTAAGCAGAGATGTCAGAAACAGAACTGAGGAGGCATCTACCTGAGAAATATTTGATTTCATGTCTGAGCTATGGTCCTCTTCTGCATGAGTCATCACAGCTTGAGAAGGCTGCAGTGTGATAAACCACATTTGCTAGCAATGCTTGTACCCATTAACTAAAGTGTTTTAACTGAAAACATCTTTAACCTCAATGAAATCAACAAACCAAAACATATCAGTTTAACAGGGTCTGCAACTAATCACAATGGCCATGCAGGAGCATTTGTAAAAGGCCAGTATATTATTACTATTATTATCAGTACACATTATCTGGATTATATACTATGACATCTCAATGATAACTGCAGAAAACTACCTGCAACAGTCTTGATTTTGATATATCCTGGTATACAAGACTATATGGTGAGCACTTTTACTAAAATAGGTTGTAATCCATAAGGCAATTCTTTAACATTGGATACCATAAATGAATATTCAGGAATAAGGTTCAAGTTAGATGCCAGGAAGTACTTCCTGACAGTTAGGACCCATAGGATATGGAATGGGCTTCCATGGGAGGTGGTTGAAGCCCCATCGGTGAGGATGTTCAAGGATAGGCTGGACATGCACATGGTAGGCATGTCATGAGTGGAGCCGGCTGGAGCTGGGGGTCAGACTAGATGCCAGGAAGACCCCTTCTGACTCACTATGTTTCTATGACTCTTAAACAGTTTAAGATATTGACTGATTCTCTGCAACACAAGATTAACATGCTCTGCTAAACATCTCCTTAAAAAGCAAACTTAAACATGGTTTAGTCAGAAGCAAGTTTCCCTTTGCTCAGTAGAATCTTCTCACAAGTAACTATGTAAAGGTTTGTGCCTGGCAAATGTGGCGGCCTGTTTGCTTAAATGCTTGTTTACAACAAGGTAACAAATGAAAAGTAAGGTATTTTATTAAATAATTCAATAAAAGACTCAAGAAATAGTACATAAACAAGATTTTTGGTTCTGTAGGATTTGTACATCAGACAATGATTTGTGTTTATTTAGCATATATACTGAGCAATCAAATGGTCCTCTTCAGATGCAATTAATTTCGGTCCTCAAACTGTGCCTTATTTTTTAACAGATACGCTGCTAGAAATTCAATAGGATTTGGTGGTCTGAAAAGAAAAATAATAGGAAGGTAAATTCTTATATAGCCATCAGCTAAAATGTTATTTTAATGGCTGTGTTCCTAATTCTGATAATTTAATTGAATTAATTTCAGGTCTAGAATTCAGCACACACAGTAATTTTGAAAGATTAAGTACTTCTGAGTATTATTTGAGATAATCTGATGTTTTATTTCAATGTATTATGTAATCAGCACTTGACTTATGTAGGATAGAGGCTAAGTGAAACTGTTGGCTTATAAACCTGTACCAGAATTTCAGCTTCATATACTACTATTGCTTTCTCTCTACTTCCATTGATTATAGAACAGGGGAGCCTTTTCTGTCCATGGACATATTTTCATGTAGGACCACATGCCAACAGATCTTGAATGGCAGTGGGCACAGCTACCTCTTTGTCTCATTCTGAGATTCTGACATGTGTTATCATGGTACACTGCCCAGGAATGCTCTCCACATTCGTATCCCTGCTTAGTGTGCCCCCACTCCTGCCAACTGTTTCTTTGTCAGACTTTGCAAGGCCCCCTGCAGCTCATTTGGGTTATAATTTGTGGAGGGAGGGGTTTCCCTGCCTCACCAGCCATTACTCATGGAAGCGCAATGAGCTGCTGAAGAGGCGAATAATCACTCTGCTCCTCCTCTGAGAGCTCACTATGTTTCCATGCTAGTTGCAGAGAAAAAGCAGCTCCTTCCCAGGACTCCTCCTTCTTTCACCAGCACAGAAACACTGTTGCTCCTCCGTCATTCTACTGTGCTTCTGTGCTGGATGTGCAGAGGCAGAGGATGAGACCATGAGGTTGCTGGTTGGATGAAAAAGAGCTGTGGGTCAGATTCCACCCATGGGCCAGAGCTTCCCCACTGCTGTTATTACAGGCTACATTTTAAAAATGCAAAGAACGACATGTTTGTACATCTGTTCAATTGTCCTGCACTCTTATTTTAACTCAGGGAAATACTAGAAGATTGATTCCTTTATTCAAAATTGTCTAGTCAACTAATGAACATTTATTTGTACATCTACAGTAGTTTCTGAGCAAGGAAGATGGAAGCATGCAAAAGAAACGTAAGGGCCTGCTCCTATTCAATCCTTTCTTCCCCTTATCTCTTACAGACTACCTGACATCAACTTTTCTGTGGGAAAGGAGGAGCAAAGGAGGCAGCAACAGGCTCAAAGAATCCCAGGACATGTTCCATTGGGCTGCTGCACTCTCATGAGATAAGAGAGCAACCAGAGCTGTTCTGCCATTCCTGCTGAATCCACTCTTCTCATACTTTTTTCCTTGTATGTGTTTGTCTATTATTGATTGTAAGCCTGTAGCCAAGGACTATCTTTGTGTAATTGATTGTAAGATGCTACACAAGTCTTTTGTGCTGAGGAAAGGGAAATATTGTAAGAGTGTAATCAAATGCATATTTAAACAAAAAAGTACTACAATCCCTAGCATGCCTTCAGCTAGCCAAGCTAGGATTGTACCCTAAATCTATTAATCAATCAATACCTGAATCTTGCTGGACATGAAAAATGAGAGGAAAGTGCTACATTTTTTTTTTTTACACAAGCATAGTTTGTCTACATCAACCACCTCCTGCTTTGGGAGAGAATATTACAAAAGAGAAGAAACTACTCTACTTCTGTAGACACATGAATGAAGAGAGAAAAAGTTAGCACTGAAATGAAAAAGCTGGACTACAGGAGTGCCTATATTATCTCACCTCTCCTTTGCAAGCACTGCAAGTCCTTGTAGCAAAATAGGCACAACTGTCTGATCCAAATAGGCACGCGTAGGTAATGACTGAAGATCCACCTTCTGCTTTGATGTTTTCTCTGCATTTGCTTTCTCATTTTCTACTATCCGCTTAAAAATACAAATATACACTATATCAAGATAACAATCCAGTGTTTACTTGAAAATATGAAGACTTGCATTTCTGAATTACATTAATAAAATAATGACTAAAGATCCATGCAGACTACCCTAACTTGTGATTTGCTCAACACCCTTCTCACTAACTTTATTTAGCTAGTTTCACAACTGAATGATCTAGGCAAATTATACTCTGTGGAAGTGTGCTAAGATAAAATTAGTTACAACTAAAAATATTTAAGCATAATTTTAGTTACCTCTACGTTTTCTGTAAGACCATATTCTGTATGAGGATTTTCTGGAACCTGCAGAACACCACACAATTGGAAATTGAAAATCTTTTTTTTTTAAATCCAGATGCATTAAAGAAGGTGATGGTGAAATTTTTCTGGCATTACCTGTGGCTGGCCCTCCATAATTTGTTCTGTGTCCATGATGTGTAGAAGCTATCAAGTCTTGTGGACAAGGTAAAAAATACACACACACAAGATTGCTGATTAAACTGCAATAAAAATTAGAAGTCAACATTACAATATAGCTGGTGGAATTGCTATAAATGGTTTTCAAGTATCTTTTGTGTGCATCCAGATTTTCTTCATAGAGATTTTTTGTCACCTATACGTTCCTGATGTAGTAGATCATGTGGGTTAACTGCTAAAAATGACCTTTTCTGCTATCAGATTTACTTGGGAGGAAAATCAGAAAAACTGGTGCTTCTGGAGCTGATGGAGAAATCAGGCTCAATTACACCCATTACAGCAAGCTGACCTATGTACCTCTGCACAAAAACAAGCCTCACTGATCTCAACCGGCCTTAATCTCAAGTAAGCGTACACAGGGCTGCAGCCTTCTGTATGTGCCCTTCCTACACTGCGACGGACAAGCAACCCAACTCTCCCGCGCGAAAGCAGCCAGCTTGCCTGCTGCGGCTTAAGAAGCCTGGCTATCAACAGACCCTACCAGCCTAACGGAGCCGGCACAGCTTGCTACTGAGACGGGAAAGCGGGATGGGACGAGAGCTCGGCAGGCAAACCGAGGCGCCAAGGGAACCGAAGGCCCGGGACACCGACCGGCTTCGGCTGCAAAGCAAGGGCCGAGCGTTCCGCCGCCGCGCTCGACTCACGCCTCGCCCACTCACCTCCGCTTCGCTAAGAGCCTCAGTTCGGAAGCCACACGAGCAAGAACCGACCAGTCGCGGGGCAACCAACAAAACAACCGTCGGGGCGAGTCGTAAACGGGAGCTACGGTCACCGATGTGCCGTAAATGAGAGCGGGAGAGAAGTGTCGTGCTCCGCGGGCCAGAGGCATTCAGCCGCTACTGCGCCTGCGTGCGCAAGAATGCCAGCCTTTCGATTAGCCCACTGGGGGGGGGGGGGAGAAAAGTGGTTGCCAGGAGACACTTTTCCACGTGCTACCTGGGCTTTTCTCCCTTGCGGATAGTTTTGGCATGCTGGGCCACTTAGGCATACTTAGCAGGGGGATGCTAAAGGTGTTGTTCCGGAGAAGGGCAGTTCCGCTTTACAGTAGCCGGCATGTAGGCTTGGGCGGTAAAACCGCTTCAATGGGAAATGTGTCCCGATGCTTCGATTCACTTTTTTTTAATGTTTATGTCGATCATTTCAGTGATCCGATAATCAAACTGGGTGGGAAAAACTAGGTGAGCACAGATCCTCATGTCTCGTCAGGGTTAGGGTTTTGGCTTTTGGATGTGTCTTGTTCTAATTTAGGCATCGTTGTATCTGTATAGGGAGCTATTTTATGCAACCTTAACAATGCTGGGAGTTGTAGGACTTTGTCCTGTCAACATGTATGGGATTGTGCCCTAAATTATTTTGTAGATTTATGCCAGAGGTGGGTTGTTAAAGTTCAATTCCCAATATACCAGCCAGCAAGCCCAATAGTCAGGGATTAAGGTCCAACATCTGAGGTTCACGGTTTATCCAGTCTCAATTTCACTGTGCCTTTCAATCTGATTATTCTAATATGTTGTAATGGGTTGTAATAATACAGACTCCAACACAAAAGCAGTGGCCCTTAGTCCTCTGGTGGATGGATGGGGCCAGATGATGCTTCCCCTCCAAGGACTACTGGGAGTTGGAGGGGAATTCTTTCCAGCAGGGAGGCGGAAGCATAACTCTATGCACTGCTCTGCTAACCTATGGCTTAGGCCAAGCTGCTCTTTCTCTTGTTGAGATGTTCTTCCTGGAAGGCAGAGGGCACAAATGTATAACCTTATAGCCATGCATCACCTCAGAGGGGCTGTAATGCAGGATAGCCTTGCTGGACCTGGTGCCTTCCAGAGATTAGTTGGGGTACAACTCCCAGTATCCTGCAGGCAGCATGGGTGGGGCTAATGCAGAAGATGTGTATTTTCATTATGAGAGCTGATGCAGGACAGGAGAACTGCCAATGTGAGAATAATTCTTCTAAAGCAGTGATACCTGAGAATAAGTGCCACTGAACAAAGCTGGGCTTATTTCTGAGCGCATACATATATGATTTTACTGGGCGTGTCCTTTAGGTTACTTTGTATCACATATTCTCTGAAATTGTTTTGGGAAGTGTCAGTGCATTGTTTGCTGCAACAGTCATAAAAATAACATTGACATAAGGAAAAGGGCTCCTAGATAGTTGAAGAATTGATCCTTTCTTCCAAAACACAAGTGTCATACGGCAGACAAGATGTCTCTTAATGTCATTCTATTTCCTTAAACATAACTGATGCCCATTATTTCAAACATCTTTGTGTTTTGAAATGTTAATATGTAACCAAAATTTCTGCTAGTACATATCAATTTTCAGGGATATGCTAATATATTGCATCTAAATGTTGTTCTAGTAGTAATTCATAGTGAATGTCCTTCTAAAATATAGTTTACAGCAAAATGTGGTGTGGTGTATTTATATGTTCTATGATATTTATTTCCTGGAATCAGCAGGCATATAGTTGTCTCATGCACATTTAACGAACAGTTATTAAAGGCTAGATTCTGGTTTACAAAAACACACTTAGTGTATTAGTCTTACCTCAATTCCAGAGGGCCAGCCATTGGAGTCTATAGCAGCAAAAAAGTTTTGCAGAAGCCTGACTACTAACAGCAATAAGCTTTCACGGATTAGCCATCAAGGATATGGCATGTATACTTAATTGGCAGCTATATTAAAGGCAGGATTTAAATATAAAAAAAACCCCTAGGTGTTCATTCAACTTTTACAGCAAGAGAAAAATCTCACCCATTTGATCTTAGAATATGGGTCTCTCGTTAAGCGAAGGAAACGAAAACAACAAGCCTGATGGTCAGGCTTTAAGCCACTAAAATCCTAAACTTGTTTACTTTAAAACATGCCTATATATATTAAGTTAAACGACGTTCGATACGGTTAATAATTTTGATAAACAATTCGTGACATGCATCAGGCAGCTCACCCAATTGCAGGAGGCAGCAAAATGCTACCAAACAGCCTTTTTTTCCAGGTCTGACGTTCCGACACGTGACAAAAAGGAGAGGAAAGAAACGCTAACTCCCATTACACGATACGTTCCCTGTTGACTAAATTGCCCAGAATACATTGCTTCCATACAAATTGGGCAGCATTTGGCAAGTGAATAGCTTTCCCAACACTGGCCAATCAGCTCCTCCGTTAATGGTTCTAAGAGAAGCTTTGCACGATGGGATTGGCAGTTTTCGGGTCGCCTCTCGCTTCCTACTGCCTGTTCTTTCGACCTCGCCCCCTATTGTCGCTTGTGTCGTTCGCGCAGGCGCAACTTAACAATAGCGCTCCAACCCCCGAAAGACCATTACGGTGCTCTTTATTCAGGAAGGGTCGCTGCGTAGATTTTCTTGCGCGCGCGCGATTGCGGAGCTGGGGGAAAGGGGCGTAGCCTCTGCTATGGCAGGCCGGCGCTGCTGGTGGTTGTCAGTCCCTGGCAGCGGGTTATGGCGAGGGCGGTGGTGAATGAATTCTCCGGGCGGGAGAGGGAAGAAAAAGGGCTTAGCCGCCTCCAGCTCCCCGACCCGGGCCGCCGGGGCCTCCCCTTCGCCCTCCTCCGCGGCCGGCCCGGCTCCCTCCGTCCAGCACCAGCAGCAGGCGGCGGTGGCCTCCCCTCACAAGCGCAACCTCTACTACTTCTCGTACCCGCTCTTCGCCGTCTTCGCGCTGCTTCGGTTCCTCGCCTTCCAGCTCGGGCTGCTCTTCGCTTGGCTGTGCGAGCGCCTCTCTCGTGGCAGAGCGCTCATGGCAGCCGCCAAAGGCACCAGCAGGGCCGGGGCTGCCGGGGATGCTCCCGAGCAAGTGCGAGCCTGTCACAAGCGCGCCTTCGAGTGCATCTCCACGGCGCTGCGCATCGATGAAGACGAGGCGGGTAAGTATCGGCGAAGCGGACGCCGAGCAGCTGGGAAGGCGGAAGAGCTAGGTAGAGACAAGCAGGGAAGGGGAAATGGCCGCGTGGGTAGCAAGCAAGACTCCGCCGTTTAGGTGAAGAAACCTCCCGGTGCTCTTCGGCGTTGGACCTACTTCAGTTGAACTGAATAGGACGTAAGTTAGGCTAGCATTGCTTGCCAGCCTCACGCTGGCCAGCTCGCCACGTAGGCTTGGTGTGCCTTCATTCGTGTTAAGCGCTTTTTAAACTCGGTTTTGCATTGACGGGTCACGACCGAGGCGGCTGGAGCCGTCCCCGTTGTTAGCCCCTCGCGCCTGGCTCGTCGCTGCTTCTCTGCTTCAGCCACTTACTTGCACTCGCAGTGCAGGTGGCCGGATAGCAAAAAGCGGCTGCTCTTTCGGCTGCTCCTTTCAGCTCTGTGCCCATCCAGCTTGGGCTGGGCTTGTGCCTGTAGACAGCCTTTGAAAGCGTATGTTAGCTCGATTTCGGTAAATAACGGTTGCTATTATGCATGCTAAAATGGGGAGGGGTGAATTTAGGAGTGTTTATGGCTCCAAATAGGCAAGACTGGTGGTGGTGTTTTCTCATTGTTAAGCGGAACCCAAATGTTTGTATGTGTGAAGTGTGTTGACACAACGGACTTGTGGGTGGAGCCCGTGGGTGAGGGAGGCTTTGCTGTGGATCTGAAAGAGACTTTGTGTTACCCGGTTGGTCTCTTTGTTCTCCTGGTTCAGCTTCTACTTCTGGGGTTACATCATACAACCCCCTTGGTTTCTTTTGTTATTTTTTAATGCTGGCTGTTGGACTCGGATTTCTTAGGTATTAGACTTTTTTCTCCTGTGGCTAGCAAATGAAGGAAGAAAAATAATACCTGTAGAATATATAAGCAAGCTATCTGGAATGGACCCATTTTGTTACTGTTGGGCTAATACAGTCAAGTAAGGAGTTAATAGACTTACTAGACACCATCTGAACTAAGTTCAAAATTACAAAATTGTACACATGTGCTGACAGCCTACAAACGTAGTTTCGTGTTTGTTGACTGTGGTACCCTGGGTCAAAGATCAATCTTGGTATCTAAAATCTTGGTTGTAAAAATGGTGTATACATTCAAAACTCTTTTAAATGTCTCCAGCCAAAACTGCACAGTATGAATGTGTTGCAGGGAGGACAAATGTCAGTGATTAAAAAAACCACCCTGATTTAAATCTTTAAATCAGATTTACATGAAATTACATTTGTTGTAAGGGTCTCGAGACATCAAAGTGGTGGATGGGGTACACGTAATTTAAATAAATAAATAAAATACATTAAGTGAATCTGATTTAAGCCTTAAGTTATCTTATATAGTACTGTGGTATGTCTCAGCCTTGCTACCAATGCTTCTTTTAATTGGACATGCCAAATATTGAACATGGGTCCTTTTAATACAAACCTTGTCCTCTGTCGCCACACAGTGTTGTTTATTTCTGAATACATATTTTAGCATTAGACTACCAACAAAACAAGAATAGTTATTGCTATTTTTAAGAGTCACTGGGGAATAAGAATCTTGCAAACAGAAATGGATAAACAAATGAAATACATGTTGTTTCTGCTATAGCCACACAGTTGTGTGCCGCCACAAATGAACTTAAATATTTGTCCCAGTTAATTATAAATACATTTTCTATCTTGCCTTTTCTCCAAGAAATTGAAGACAGTCTTATAGTTCCTCCCCCTGCCCATTTGATATTTACAGCCCCCCTATGAGGTTGGTTAGGTTGAGAGATTGTGTCTGTGCAAGGTAGTCCTGTCCCAGCTTCATGGCTGACTGGGATTTGAATCTGCAACTGTCCAACCCAAGGATGACACCCTAACATTGTGGTCCTCATTCCACTGCCTTCCAGATATTTTGTACTACATCTTCTGGGATTCCTGACTATTGGCCATGCTGGTTGGAGCTGGTAGCTGTTGAAATCCAAAATATTTGGAGGGCACTAAATTGGGGAAGGCCACTCTAACATGTTGACATAAAGTTAGTTTTCTTATGAAGCATCTTTTAATGTGGTTTGCTTAGTTCTATATCTGATTGCTTGGACATTCACAGGATAACCAACCATACCCTGCATGGTTATGTTTTTCTCCCTTTATCTTGTGGCTTGATGTGCTTGAGCCATTTGGAGTTATTTGTGTTGCATGTGCTTTTCTGTGGTACATCTGAAATAAATTCATGGTTCTTGGTGGCCTTCTATTCTTGTATGGGACTAGAATGGGCAGCCTTTTGTCCCTTCCAACTTGGTTACTGTTATTTCTGGGTGCTTCTCTATAAGTGCTTTATCTGACCTTACTAAAAAGAAGCCATTACATTCATTGGCTCCTCATCTCCTGCTAAGTTTCAGATTTTCTCTTTCTAGCTAATACTTTTATAGTAATTGAAGGCAGACAGAGTAGTGTTACACCAGAGTGTGATTTCTGAATATGAATGCCATCTCTTGTAATGTCACATTAGTACTGAATTTGTTATGTAGTTTTAGTCCATTTACTATATGTCTCAACTCTACATCTTCATATTTATGGTTTTGTGGGCTGTTATGCAGAATGCTGAAATAACGTATATGAAGCACATGCAACTCAAAAGCACTATATGTATTTCTTGAAGTATAGCAGACTTTCATGCAAATATTTTGGCTTTATGCTGTTTGTTGAACTGCCTTTAATACTGAGAAATTTTAATGGTATTTTAGTAAAATACCACTGAGTGATAACAAAATACCTGAGTGTTATAACACCTTTTTATTGTAAAGGTATCTGGGAGTGTTGCTTGATTAGATCTTGTAAATTTTGTGTATTGCTGCACAATTATGTAAACTCTGTATGCTTTTGTAGTTCTAATTACCTGTTTTTTACAATAAAAAGAACACAACCATTTTTTTTCTCAGCAGGACAAAAGGAACAAGCTGTGGAATGGTACCGAAAAGGGATTGAAGAACTAGAGAAAGGCATAGCTATTCTAGTAACTGGTCAAGGTAAGCTGTGGTGTGGGGTGTGAACGAAACTGAGAATAATATGCAATTTTTGAGTGAAAAAAACAGTTTGGAAGAGGGGGAAATGAAACAATTCAGCAAAAATATTTATCTAGTATCTCTCTCTCTCTCTCTCTCTCTCCCTCTCCCTCTCTCTCCCTCTCTCTCTCTCTTTCTGTGCGCGCGCATGCATGCATGTTTAAATCTTGCCATATACCTAGGTTCTTGCACAAAATAAAGTTTCCATAAGGAAACATGCTGACACTTTTATGCATTTGACAACAGGATTGCCAACTGACAGAAAGGAGGGAATGCTAACTTGCTCTTATATCTATACCTTTTGTGTGATATGCAGAAGTTCAGACTTTCAACAGCATGGGAATTATCTTCATTCCTTTTCAGTGTCTATACAGTAAGCTATTGTTAAAGGCACAGCTACAGTGACTGCTTGAAAAGTTGATAGGCCTAATAGTAATTTCTAGGTTAGGTTTCTGTTTAGGATCTGGTGGTAACTTAAATTATACTGGTTAATGCTGATTCAGGTCTGTAAAAGAAGGAATATCTGAGTGGTATACTGGGTCCTAAACTGATTCTGATTTTATTCCTTAATTGAATGATGCTGGTTTGTAAAGTGCAGTGAATCAACTTTATTTATTTATTTATATATCCCACCTTTTTTCCCAAAGAACTCAAAGTATCTTACATCATTCTCCTCTCCCTGCTCTCAATCTTATCCCCACAGCAACAGCCCTGTGAGGTTGGTGGGACTGGGAGTCTGTGACTGACCCAGCATCACCTAGTTGGCTTCATAGGTTTATGGTCCTGGTTATCTAGGCCTGAACTGTAAACAGCATTAAATCCAGTTTGGGCCATCATAAACTATGATTTAGAATGTAAATACTCTATCTAAATTTTAGATTATCACAATTGCCCATGTTTTAAGAACTGCTTTGAACATTGAGAGGCTGCTGCACTTTCTACTGTCTATTAAATTGCAATCCTAACCACTGCAAATGTGGACTAGCTGTGTGATAATAAAAAAGTCTGCATATGTTAGCATTCATGCTGAAGCTCAAAAGGAAGTAAAGCATGGGAGAAGTACTCTACAGTGTCCAGGTGTCCTTTTCTACTTTCTCCAGCTGGTTGACTTCATGTCTTTTCTGTCTTAGTCCTTCATAAGAGCAAAGTGCATGAGTCTAGGAAAAGCAGAATGAGCACAATTCTACTGGACAATGTATTTATGTATTTGCGCTACACTCATGGTTGGTGAGAGTGAGTGTACTCTCCTGCCGTTGTTTTTAGTTAAGTACTTCATCTGTATGGATACTGTGTATCCAGTGCTAGTTCCAGATTTTTATTAATTTATTTCTATATTGTTTCCATAGTCAAAGCTCTCTGGGCTGTTTATACAGTCCATAAAAACAGGTGATAAAAACACAAACATAAAATCAGAAAAAATTAAAAAGTTAGAAACAGCTAAAAACAGATAAGAAAAACTGTAAATAGCACAAAATAACAAAATAAGAGTGAATTGTGAAACAAATTCCCCTGGTGATTCCCCTCAAGCCCCTGGATGGCTGATTAAGTCTTTAAAAGCCTTAGAAAAGAGGGCATTCTCAACCTGGAGCTAAAAAGATGACAAATTCAGTGCTGGCCAGGCCACAGTGGGGAGGTTTTACGATAGATTGGAGGCTACCACTGAGAAAGCCTTTTGAGGGCCTTTGAGCAAGAATCCTTAGTAGATCTTCTTCAGTAAGTCTGTCTTTTCAGCACCATTGTCATCCATTCCTGTTCCTTTTCACTGTCTTCCTCATCATAACTATTTCATTTGCTTGTTTGACAGGCAGAGAGTCAGTTAGCAAATAAGCAATGAAATGTACTGCTTCTCCTTCTCACCAGCACCATTGTGTCGACCAGATAGGCATACAAACAAGTTGCAGTGGTGAAAAGGAGGCGCAACACTAGAGCTTTCTTCTCAGGGCTCTGCTGGAGTGTGGCAAGTGCCAAGCTATGCCCACCCTTAACACCAGCCCTGCACTGACTGTATGTTTTGGTTTAGTTATGATTGTGATTCCACTGAGTTTTTCTCATGATGATTCATGTCCCTGTTTTCTGAGGATGGGGCAGAAATAAAAGTTTAGACCTTTTTTTGCCTCATATTTTTTGCTGCTGGGTTTTTTTTTCTTTTTTCCTAAAAGCAACATTGAATCTTCAAATTCATGTTTAACTTGGTGCTGGGGGCATGAGATTTCTATTAAAGCAGCAAAACCAATATATTTGAATTGTATGTAAGTGTGAGGTGGCAAATGTCTAACATTCATCAAGACTATTGTGGTCAAATATAAGCACTTAGAAGTATCACTGATTTCTACCAGTGCTAAAGAAGCAGATTCTTTACTTTCTTATTGAAAATCAGTATGACTTAAAATACTTATCTCGGGTTGGATCTTTCAGTTGTTTTATACATAAGTTTTCAGAAAGAATGCTAATACTATTAATAGTTGCTTGTGAACATTTTGAAATGTTCAGAGGGAGTAGAAATACAGGTAGAAGACAAATTAATATGCGTATAGCAAAGAAACATAACTGGTTTGTACATGCTGTCTTATTACTGTGTTCATTTGCATCCTCCCCCATATGTGCAACTGTCCCAAAAGAGAGAAGAGCATGCACAGACTTGTAACGATAGGTAACCATGCATTATGGAAGTGTTAGGTTTATCACTTCTAAATGCATTATGTGTTAAGTTGGTTTTAAGTTCAATATTTAATTCAAATTCTTTTGGTAGCATATGGAACATAAATTGTTGTTAAGTGTGCCTGAATATTTAACTTTCTCTTTAAGGAGATCATTATGAACGAGCTCGGCGTCTCCAGAATAAAATGATGACAAATTTGGCAATGGCCAAGGACCGTTTGCAACTGTTAGGTACTACTTAATATTTTCATTATAGAAAAATGTAGAAATTATAGTTATATGCTGCATACTATAATTGTGTTAATGATGGAGGACATAATTTGAGACTCTTCTATATCTTTGTTGTTTTGGAAAGAACAACTCAGCATTAGATTTTTTTTAACTGCACAGAGCATTGTATACACACTGGCATATGGAAGAATATTAACAGAATTTTTTTGGGATAGTTTAAAATGATGTGGGAAAAAATAGACTCAGTAGTGCAAAGATCAGGAAATAGAAAAGTAGGAAGGAGCTACTGGAGCCCAACATGCTCTGTGCCGTGGCTTCTCAAACTACGGCCCGCGTGACGGATCTGGCCCGCCATGGCCATCATTCCGGCCCGCGTTGCCACTCGCGTGCACACCTGCTGCGTGGGCAGGGAGGCGGTGGCTTGCTCACTCAGAGATGGAGCCTTTCAACTGGCCCCCTATTGAAAAAGTTTGAGGACCGCTGCTCTATGCAAAGGTTAAGGGAGTTTTACTTAAGAACCATTAAGGTGTAACCTTATGCATGCTTAGACTGAAAAAATTCCTGCAAACCTCAGCATTCCCTATGTTGGTTGAGGGATCCTGGGAGCTGTAAAACTTTTCTAAACCTTAATGGAGGGTAACCTAAAGGGAAATTTTAGCAGTGGAAGCCATAAAAGAGTTCTATGGCAATTAGAGAGCCAGTGTGGTGTCATGCTTAAGACTGCAGGACTGGGACCGGTTCTTGTCCACACTCCACCATGGAGCCTACTGGATAACTTTGGGCTAGTCACAGACTCTCAGCCCAACCTACCTCACAGGGTTGTTGTTGTGGGAATAAAATTGACAGCAGGAGGAGATGAATAATGTAAGCTGCCTTGAGTTCTTCAAAAAAATAAAATGTGGAATGTAAATCTAATAAATAAAATCTCAAAGCATTCAAAATATAAATCAGGCATATCAATGAAGCATCATAAATTGCTTGGAGTTTTAATTAAAAACTAGGGCTTTATACCGTGGTGCCTCGGTTCACGAATGCTTCGGTTCACAATCATATCGGGTTGTGAACAAAAACGTTATAAAAGGTTGCGAACTCCGCACTGAGTGGCGACCATGATCGTGGCCATCTCCCTTTCCCCCCTGAGTGGGGAGATGGCCACGATCGTGCTGGGGGTGGGGGGAGATGGCCGAGATCGCACCCATCTTTCCTGCAGGAGTGTGCCGGTGATTGTGCCTGTCTTTCCTGCAGGAGCGCAACCGCAGTCACGGACATCTTCCCCCCAGCACAATCGCACCCTTCTCTCCCCCCCAGTGTGCCCGTGTTCATGCCCGTCTCTCCCCACAGCACGCCCTGTTTGTACCCATCTCTCCCTCCCCCAGCGCACCCGTGATCATGCCGCATCAACCCCCCCCAGCGCACTGGGATGAGGGGTGCATGCAGGGATGACGGGCACGATTGTGGTTGTGCGGGGGGGGGGGGCGGGGAGATGGCCGCACTCGTGCTTGGGGTGGGGGTGGGGAGATGGCTGCGCTCATGCTTGAGTGGGGGGAGATGGCTGTGATCTTTGTTCTTTGTCACTTTGCTTCACATTTTTCTGGTTTAAGAAATAGTTACAGAACGGATTAACCTTATTTACATTGAACCTTATGGGGAAATTTAACTTGGCTCACAACCATTTTGGGTCACGACCAGAGTCCTGGAATGGATTAAGTTCGTGAGCTAAGGTGCCACTGTATAGGGAAGGACTGTTTGCTTGTGATTGACAGTAGCTGTAGAATCATCAAAAGCAAAGATGCACATAAATGGGTGTCTTTTAAAGCTGGAGTGGGGAACTTACTGTGTCTCCAGATTGCCCCTGGGGAAGTCCTTTGTAGGCTGTATGGTTGCTGTGGGTGTGGTCATAGCCCAGAGTAGGTGGGGATGATGCTAACATGGAAGGGATAGAGCAGGTACTTTGGAGAGGTATTGTACTCATGCTGTGTCTGTTTTCCCTACTATGCCCCCTTCACAATTGGATAGGATGTGGATCAAGCAAAGTTTTAACTGGGCCTACTCTTGGGAGACCTGCTGCTCTATTTTAAAGCTCAGTTACAGCCAAATTCACCCACCCTGTGCCTTCCCATGCTGCATATTGGACAGGTGAAGCACTGAGCTGCACAGCCTTCCCAGAATCTTGTGGATTAGAGTTTCCCCAGTGATCTTTTAAACCGCCTTATACTTCATGCAAAGGAAAATAATAGTAGGTAGCAGTTGCTAAACTAATTTACACTGTGTTGGAATGAATGTACTAGCATCATTCTGTGATGCCACTAAAAAGTCCAGCTTTTCTTTACTTTGGTTTATGATTCAGATTACACAATGTAGGTACCACACTTAGAAGGATACTATTATATAGTTTAAGTTCAGAAATTCCTCTTCATTTGCTAGGCAGGGGAATGGGCACAACGGAATACCTGCATGGGAGGGAGGAATTGCTCACATGGTTATTTCACTTTGTGAAGTACTGGTGAAGGAACAGCACATTTTTAGGAAACTGACAATACATTTGCAATACAGCTTTAATTTATAATGGTTTCCAGCAAGTAACATTTATATCACTTTTCAGTTTAGTTTCTCTTGAGTTTGAAGGAGCTAAGATGTTATAGAATTGCAATTCATGAATGTTTCCCAGGTTCACATGTTCTCCCCCTCTGCCCCCTCAAGTCCTTCAGTTGGTATTTCAGTGTCCTTAGCAGTAGAAATAATCTTACCTGCTCCCTGTCCCTTTTGGTTGGTCTCTGTTTGTTTGTTTGTTTGTTTGTTTGTTTGTTGGTCCTTAACAAGCTCTCATATGGTTGTCCAATATGTGTAGACTTACCTGGTCAATAGTCTTATATGTTTCAGCAGTCAAAGAGAGCTGAGAATAGTTAACATACCTGAATAGTGACAAAAAAGACTAATCTTAGGCTAATTTGCACACATTTGGCAGGGACCAATTACCTAGCTGTTAATTGAAAAACACTGTTAAAGAGGGTAAAGTGGCAAAAGAAGGTGCACCAAAAGGTGGGGAGCACACTGTCTGCCCCTTTCTAGATGAATTTTATTTTCCAGATAGAGAAATCCACAATATAGCTAATAATTATCTAAAATTACATAGACAATTTCATATTACACAGTTTGGGTCAGTAAAACCTTACACATTTTTAAAAAAATCTTGTTCCAACAAAAGAAATACTAGTATTTTTTCAGTGCTTCCCCAAATTTCTTTTTTTTCCCCTGCTGAAAAACTTGAAGAGTCCTGGGTGTATATATGTTTGCGGAAGTGTAGTTAATTTCCCCTTCCTTGAGCTGCCAAATCTCTAATTCTTCATCCTGTGGCTCTTGTTTGAAGTATTTGGTTTGTCACAATTGAAACAAACCCAAGAGTAACTTACTGTCTGCCTAACTCTCTTCTCACTTTCTTGCCCTCCCCTCCTTTTCTCAGTGTCTGCACTGGGATTGTATGGTCTACAAGACCAGGACCTGTCGTTACTCGTGTTACTCTTAAAGTTCCCTGTAGATTTATACAATATATTAATAAACTATAAGTAGAGGCTGTACTTTTCTGTAGCAGGCTTCTTACATAACTTTTGCAATTTTATGTGGCATTTAAATTTTAGGAAATCAAATCATATATTGTATTTTGGAAAATCCACCCAAATCCGACTATTAAAGCTAGGGAGCAGGGAAGAGAATAGGAGGCCTGATATTGCTGATCAAAAAACTTCAAAACCTGTAATCAGTTGCTTTAAATGAAGATATTGCAAATAATGATTTCCACTCCTAATATGGTATATCTGGAATTGAGACTTGTGTCTACAACTAGAAGTGAAACACAAGGGGCAAATTGCTCTTCGGTGTTACTAGTGTGTCAATTTTTACACTAGTGAAAAGGCTACAATTCTAGCCAGACTTATCTACTGTGGAGTATATTACAATGAGCACAGTGGTGCTTACTTACAAGCAAACATGCATAGCATCTGGCAGTAAGACTCAAGACTTGTGCATTTTGTATGAAATTTGTTTCCCACTTACATTTGGGCTTTATTTTGAAATAAATAAATGTGACTTAAGTGTCCTTTCTAGTAAATTAGAGTTACCCATAAAATATAATTATTTAAAACTGTTTGTACATTCCCCAAATTTCCTAGCCATGTTCCCTATTGCAGCCATTTTGTTGTGTCCATGACAGTATCTCCTATTTCCAAATGTGCCCATGGGCCATAAAGGTTGAGGACTCTGCTATAACCAAATGCAGCCTCCTGTGGCTACAGATTTGAGTGGAGATAGAGCATTTGGAGGGACTGTTTAAAGCTTCCCCTTTTTTGCTTAGAATTACAACACTTTCCTCTAGCTGTACTGATCTGGAGCAGAAAAATGCCCAGAGGGAGGAAGCAGTAAGCAGCCTTTCCCTCACCCCACCAAACCATGCTTCCATTCATCTGTGATCTCCTGATACCGCTTTTTGTTTGAGATATATGCACACAACTTCTCTGTGGTGGCGCCCCACCTATGGAATACGCTTCCCAGAGAGGTCCGCCTGGTACCGTCATTATTTGCTTTTCGGCGCCAGGTGAAGACTTTTATTTAAAAGTTAGTTTAACTGTTAATTTATTATTATTGTATTTATAGATTTTAATATATATAGCCGAGATGGTACCAGTTTTTAAATTATTAATTGTATTTTTTTTTAATGAATGTTGTGAGCCGCCCCGAGGCTTTGTTGCGATGGGGGCAGCATAGAAATGTTTTAAATAATAATAATAGTAATAGTAATAACTACAGGTTATACCTGTTTTAGACCAAAGTTTACTAAACGTTGCAAAAATAAGTATTTCTGATGCATTTAAGCCTAAGTAAAAGGTTGGCATTTTATGGTTGGTATAGAACTTATTTTACCTAAACATGTTTGATGGACATGACAATATGTTACCACTTCTTTCAAAGAGGATTTTGCAAGAATGAAAAGTTGCATAGCTGTAGTATGTGTTATATTAACATAAGCTGTCTCTGTATATATGAGTGGTCCAATTCAAGTGGCAAAATCTTCAAGCTGCAACTGCTAAATGGTTCACTATGAGTGCAGGGAATAGTGGAGGGAAGCGTTTCCCAACTGCCTCCAAATGCTGTTTGGCTCTTTGGGGTGCCTGGGAAAGGAGTTCAACTGCTTGACCCTTGGCTAGAGTGGCAAACCTTTCTGTCACTTTTGCAGGAGGCTCTTTTGCTTTTTGACTTTACTGTGGGTGATTTTGTTGTTTGGATTTATACAAAACAATAAGCATTGATGGGTCTATTAAAACTCTGCAATAAGCCATGGCTATTTGGGGTAGTTTATGAAACACATTGTGGAAAGGGCACTGGGTTCAGACAGCATGCTTAACTAATGTGGTTTATAGACCACCATGGCTTAATATGTTGCATGAATGCAGTCACTGAATTAAATAGGATTTACTCAAGTTAAGCATGCTTTTGTAGTCTGAAGATCATAGTTGTATGCAAACCTGAAAGACAGTAATTACAATTATGTGCTGTATTTAGAGGAAATGCCTTGTGTTTTTTAGAATGTATATTGCAGCTTTACTTATAAGACTTTAGGAAAGTTACTATTATATATCATATAACAGTATGATGTATAGATGAACAAAAAACATAATATGAAAACATCCCTTGTTTAATTCAGCAGACCCCATCTGCCTGAAATTTGTTGTGATAGGGGAAAAAATCTCTAATTTTGCCTTGAGGAATTTACTGATACGGCTTCAAACTGATTTTTATTTCACAATTAACTGCGGAAATGCTGAGGCTGATAACGAATATTCTTCTTCTGATAGGTCCTCAAACTGTGAAATGTGGTTTTGTTTTTATCAACTTTTTCTTATTCATTATAAGACTCTAATATTAAAGAGATGGCTGAGATCACCTGTATCACCCCTTGGGGGAATCAGATGCAATCATTGCATATTGAAGATTAGCAAGAGGATTCCTCCCCTCACCTCAACAGAACACTTGAAATTTCTGGTCTATTTAGGAAAAGGATACTTTATTTGGAATCACTCATGAATGAAAATTGAGAATCAAGAGGATCCAAAACTCTTGTGAATAAAGACATGCATTATTTAAAAAAAAATTGTTGGCCCTTCCATTCAAAATGTCAGTGGATGTTTACAAAAGCTAATAAAAGCACAATAAAAACAGAAAAGGCAATGCTAAAAAGTAGGGAGAGATTAATAGCCTAAACCACATGAGAGAGTAATAGCCTAAGTCACAAAAAGATATTTGCCTGTTACCTAAAATATAGTAGGCACCATGCAGTTTTCTCTGGTGATAGTTTCATAAGCATGACACCAGACCCCCCCCCCCACAAAAAAGTCTTGTTCTCTGTAGTCACCACTAATGGCCTCTAATAAATATTTATTTATTAAATTTACAAAATCATTCTTGCTTGTATATGGTTAGCTTGTGGGAAAAGAAGATATTCCCTCAAGAATCAAGGTAGCAAGCTGCTTAAATTGAACTGTGATCTGGCCAGAACCCTCCAGCTGTAGGGTGCTGTGGAGGAGATGATGAGGATGATTTCAAGTTTTAAAGGCAAGCACCAGGGCTTTGAATTGTAGGTTGACTGGAAGCTTGGTGGGATGCTCTTAAGCACTGGTGAGATATTCCTTATCAGATTGATATTCCTTATCAATTGTCAACAGTGGATCTAGCTAGCTTATAGCCTCCATAGATGTAGGAAGGGCTGTATCTGCTTGATGGAGGATGAGATTAGTAAGAAAATGAATAGCAAATGAGTCTTGAGAAATTTAAATTGCGCTCATTGTTTGGAAATAACTGGCTCCATGTTTCAGTGTAAATCTCTCATACTTGGAATAATACAGCAGCATATGTGGTTTTTTCATACACATGTGACTTTTTGAGGTTCAATGGATAATCCAGTACTACTACAGAAGGCCATCTTTTTAAAATAAAGACAATTGGGTAACAGTGCAAGTGTGAGAAAGGTAGCTATGTATAGGGGATGGCATGATAGCAACCCACTTCTTTAAACTATGACCATCATTGTTCAAAATGTTAGGAAAAGTTTGAGTAAGAATCTGTATTGTTAGCCCTTCTATTACAAACTGAATTTGTTTTTCATATAATATAGCCCTTGTAGAGTTAAAATATGTTGCACCAATCCTTTATGTGGAAGCATATAAGCAGGCTTAATAAAAGCAGAAAGACCTAATGTGTAAGTGCTGAGCAGTAACAAACTGATAATTTTGGAATAAATATTGTGATCCAAATTTGTATTGAAAAAGTAGTTGTGTTTAAATCCAAAGTGCCTCAAAATATATGTTTGGCTCTCTTTCTAAAAGAAATGGTCATGATAATTCCAAGTAAGTGTGCATGCAGAGGATTGTTGTGTAAAGTGCAAGAGTATAGTAAGAGATTTTAAGTTACTTCCAAACAGTAATGACTTCTGTAAGCAATGGAGGGAAAAATGCTGCAGAATTTCTCAGGATCATGATGATCATACCTGTGAAATGGCTTCATTATTCAGACTCATAATCTGCTTAATCATATTGTAATGCTCTATCCTTTTGATACTAAACAACCATTGCTGTAGCCAGTGGTTTCATTCCACTAATGGAACTGCTTCTGTCAGTGAAGCAGGGTCAGTTCCCTTTTCTTTTCTTAGCCACCTGCACATCTGTCAAATCTGCTGTGGAGGGCTGGTTAACCCTCTGAAGGAGATTTTCCAGTGGTGCAGAGGGCTGTTGTTGGGAGGCGAGAGGAAGAAGGTTCTGCATTAAGAGATATCTGCTACTGTAATGTTAGATTTAACTTTCAATATTTAATTATGTATTTACATTTATTTCACAGTTATTAATAATCTGAAGGTATCAAGCTATCCAGAAATAATTGTTCGTAATTGACAAAATTGTCAAGCAGCTTTTAATTAGCTGAAACTTTTTTTGTCATGGCATTTGTGCTTTATATATGAGTAATTATACATAAATATTTTCTAATAAAGGTTAATCTAAAATCTGTTTAAAACCTGTACAGATTTATTAAAGGCTGTCTCCAATGTATGCCTCTTTTTTTCTTGAAATAAACATACTAAATAATCACAAATGGTGCTGAAAAGTTCCACACTAGTCTTTCATTGTTCCTTCTTATTAGTTCAGCTCTTGATTGCAGTTCACAATTTTTTCATTAAAATAGTACTTCATTTATTAAACATTTCTAATTCGTAACATTGTGAATGCTAGACATATGTTTTGTAACTTTATTCCATATCAAGTCGAGTTATGGCAAAGTCATTTTAGTGTGATTAGTATACGTAACTTTCATTGGTTCATTTTTTGTTTTTTATTTGTCCCTTCCCCCCTTCTGTTTGTTGCATAGAGAAGATGCAGGCAGTTAAGCAAATCCCCAAGCCGCAAATGGAAGTCTATAGTGACAGTACTAACCTGGTATGCCGCAATGGACATCTCCAGTCAGGTGGGTTTGGTTTTACCAGCACCTCATTAATTAGAGGGATGTCTATCAGTATCTAGCATATAACAAACAGAATATGCAGTGCTTAAATTCCCTGCTCCTAATTTATTTTTCAAATGTTTCTTTTTAAAGACTTTGTATAAATGCATTCCATCCTCTAAATTGTCTTAACAGTGTTCCTGCTAAACTGCTTTCCATATACTTTAATACTTGCTGCATGTTAAAATGAAAAAGCTGCAAAGGCAATACAGTTGGGCTGAAATTTCTGTTTTTAAAGGCGTTAGGCAGTTTAGCTGTTTGGGAAAACATGCAACATCAGGAAAAATAATTAAATTTCATAGGCTGTTGTAAAGCAGAGGATGTAAGGATTATTTAAATTCCTTGCTCTTTTAAAAGCAGCCCAGTAATACTTTGTTGATACCTGCTAGAGAAAACTGCTTACTGGCCTTGTTTTTCACAAAGTGTGCTTAAAATGATAGCAAGTGCCACCTAATTTAGGGAACTATTGATCTAACTAGGAGCACTTGTTTGAGATTATCTCAAAAGACAATTTATGTAGAGAAATTGTCACCTAACATTCTTAAAGCATGCTCTGAATATTAAAGGAAAGCTTAAGTCCCTGTATGATATGAATTATCTGTTTAGTAATCTGATTTAGGTAAAAGTTAGGGATCTTCTCAATCACAAATTCCTGTTAACTTTGTAATTTGTCACTTTAGTCATTTTTACACTGATGCTTTCAGATAAACTATACAATTACTGTCAGCGTGCAAACTATGATAAAAGCAGAAACATGGAATTTTATTGATATGTTTGCTTAAGAAATCTGGTATATTTGATTTTTTTAACTCTCCTAAGTTAGGGTCTAAATTTTAAAAAAAACTCCTGGGCTTGTTAGTTTTGGGGCAGAAATATCCTCTTTTGCTTCATTTGAGAATGGTATACTACCTTTGGCTGGTTTAATAAGATGCACTGTACTCATTGTTTGAAAACAGTTGAAATAGTACCTGGCCCTATTTCTGCATCAGGCATTTTTTCTGTTATGATACCTGGTATTCCTTAAAGTATTGGCATATGGTAAAGGCTATAATTTCTGTAAGGCAGGGATAGGCAGGCTCCAGGTTACTTGGTAAAAAGCAAAATATCAAAATATCAAAAATCTAGTGAAAAAGACTTTGAACACTTAGAATTAAATAATTCCAAATCAAGGAACTTGTTCAGAGTATTAAAACTAGATGGAATTGCAGTATTTCCACAGAAAAATCTGCTCTTGATTGTCTTAACCTTTCTTCATTTCAGTTGTATAACACAGGCAAAAGTGTGTGTGTTGGGGCAGATAATTTTTGTTGCTGAAGTTGTCAAATTGTCAACTGAGAGTCAGAAATCCTTGCCAATAGAGATTTACTATTAGGTTATATCCACCTTATACTCACTCCTGCTGCAGGGCAGCAGTGTGTGACTTTTCACAGTGGTACAGTAGCACTAACTTAGATCTTTGGGAGTTGGGAGACATATGATCCTCCTGAGGGTGTTGGACTCTCTCTACCATAATCTCTGACGATTGGCCATGCTGGCTGGTACTAGTGAAAGTTTGAGTCCAACAGCATCTGCAGGACAAGAAGTTCTCCAGGCTTGCTGTAATAGGAGCTTGCTGACTGTGCAAGTATAATGGGAAGTAGGAACAGGGCAATTTCACTGCAAATGAAAAACGTTCGCTTCTGGTCTCTTAAGTCCAGCTGTTTTCACTAGTCCTTGCAACTCAAATATTTATTGTGGTTTTATACTGCTTCATCTATTAAAATCCCTAAATGGGAGTAAGGGCACTGACTAGACTGCATGAAAATCAGCTCTGGTTTGGGAAATTTCTTATCTGAGAGAAATTTTGAAAGAAAATGTTCTTGAATGGCAAAGCATTGGGAGGGAAGGACAGTCTTGCACAGAGGTTTCTTTTTAGAGAAAGTAGGCACATGATTGCTTTCTACCTCTTTTAAAACCAAACCCTACTTCTCAAGCAATGTGTGGAGACATTAAGTTATTTTAAAAATGTTGTCTTTTCACAAAAGATAGTATACATACACACATATATGTGCATGCATCACTCATGATGCTATAGGCACTCTGTCATGATCAATTGTCCTGTAGACATTCTACCATTGTGGGTATATAGCAGCAGCAGCAGAGTATATTCAGCACCCACCCATGTGCACATACACCTTGTTTCAAAAATAGATGTTTTTACAGCAAACATCAGTAACTTCAGTTTGCTTGTACACTATAAACTTGAATGTTTTGGTGAGCACAGTTTCTTAAATGTTATTTCATGAAGGAAAGGAGAACAAGACAAGTTAGGTTAACTTAGGGTGGTCCAACTTTTTGTACATTGAGGGCTATATGAAGACTTTGACTCAAAACCTGGGGGTTGCACAATGAATTACATTTCCATATTGTATCCTCTGCGGTGCCCATTCCTTTCTTGTTTCTCCCACCCAGAGACCCTCCTTTATGGACTCCCCCGGCCCCTCCTTCCTTCTCAGAATTGGCATGCTGAGCCTCTTGTACATGAGCCAACAAATTCGCCCTGCATGCCCCACCCATTCCTGCTGAATAGCACAAACCTCCTGAGGGCCTTTCTGCTCATCAGCTGGAGTGGCAGGGGGGGCATGGTGGAGTGAGCTCACTCAAGGCCAGCAGCCTGACCCACTCTCTTCCTGAGCCTCAAGAAGCGAATGAGATGGGACAGTGGCCTTGCGAGAGCTTGCCACAGTCATGCCCATTTCATCGCTGGAATCCAGACTCAGTGGGGAGGGGGGAGATGAGGGCTCTGAGCTGCAAGAGGGCTTCAGAGCAAGGCTTCACGGGCCATATGGAGCCTGCGGGCTGCGTGTTGCACCACCCTGACCTAACTGTTGGAGAAGACAGTGGAGAGAACTGTAACCTAGTTTCTAGACAACATCCAGAATATCTTCCCCTGATACCACTGTTACCCTTGCTACTCTGGTTTCTCTCTTTGCTCTTCAACCAAACAATAAAATTTTGCCTTAAACCTTTAATGAACCTAAAAATCCTCCCTTCAGAGTTGATGTCTCTTTGTCACACATTCCAACATATTTTGGTTTGTAATGAACAGAGCTGAAATTTCTGTGCTCCAGCATTGGCAGAGATTCAGTAGAATTTCATTGTACTTTTGGGGAAGGCAATATCTTAATCAGATTGTATTTAAAACAAACTTCTGGGAAATAGTCTGAATAAATAGTGTTGCTGTTGGGGAATCTGCAGTATCCTCTTGATGATCCTTCCTCAAACTGGCATCCTGCAGATGCAATGGACTCTCCTTATTCCCAGCCCACATGTTTGGCCAGGGAATGATAGGGGTTTACTCAAATGCATTTGGAAGGTCCAGGCTGGGGAAGGCTGCTGTTGATCATATCAAGCTTGAAGTAGCTGTTAAATTGTGGGGAGACAGGTAGGCTTGGCTAATCAGATTTGTGCATTACAAGTATAGTAATTGCTCTTAAGCCTTTACACAAACTCAGTCTGCTCTCTGGTTTACCACTGAAGTAAAACCAGTGAGGTCTAGTCAAAATTCAGCTGAAATGCATGTGGTATCAGTTTCAGTGTGAATCCAGCCAAACACAGATTAACAGATCAACCTCAAGCTTCCTTGTTGCAACAGTAGTAGCCTGCACATTTAGTTTTGCTGTTTATTGTGTGGCTGTATCATGAGTGCTATTTATTGTACCATTATGAGATGAGTTTTTAAGTTTTTGCATTGTTTAGGATGTGCAAAGGATATTTGCAGCGGGAGGGGTGATGCTACATTCCTGCTTGCCAGTTGTCTTCTTGGCTTATTTCGTATTACATAAAGCTGGATCTATGGAATAAAATAAAGGAAGGAGACAGCTGGGAGGTGGCTTCTGAATTTCTAAAGGCCAAGGATTGCAATGATTGGCTGAACCCAGATACCTCTTTCTAGAACATAATATGCCAGTGGCTGCATGCCATGCAACTCCAGTCAGTTTTGGTTGAAACCACTTATTTGGATCAATTTCGATTTCTGGCCTAGTTTTGGCTTAAACTGTCTTGATAGCCATGTTAGAATATCTCTATTCATAGAAGTGGATAAGGGGAATACAGTCTTAAATTCTTCAGGATCACTCAGCAACCTTCGCTTCTCTCAGCCATACTTTCTTCTTGTTTACAATTGGAGACATATTAGTTCCTCTTCTGTCTGGAGGCGAATTGCAAAACATGGGTGCAAGGCACTAAAGTTTGATCCTATGGCATTATGCTGTATGTTCCTCTGCAGTATTACTTCCTGCCACCCATTCTTTTTAACCTTTACATGAAATTGTTGAATTAGGCTATCCAAGGTTTTAGAGCTGGATGTTACCAAAATGCAGGTAACATTAAGCAAACTCTCCTTTACACTGGATTTACGTGAGACACTTGAAGTACTAAACCAGTGATGGCGAACCATTTAGAGACCGAGTGCCCAAACTGCAACTCAGAATCCACTTATTTATTGCAAAGTGCCAACACTGCAATAAAACCTGAATTTGCTGACCACCAGCACAAGGGGGCAAAATTTCACTGACTACCAGCTTTTGGCCAGACCTGAAAAAGGCATCTGAGTGTATTTCCTACCTTCTGCTAACATCACAACGGGTTGTGCAGACTTGAACTGACAACTTTTCAATCAACCAGCCCAGCAGCACAGCGGTTTAAACCACTGTGCCACCTGCATCCCGCTAAAATCACAGTCCATGCAAATCCCAGGCAGTTCACTGACCGACCCACCATGTGAAAGCTTGAGTCATGGCTAATGAGTGACAGTCGTTGCCTGGCGCCCTTAATCCTTCCGAATATGCGCATGGCTGCTGGGTCAATCGTGTGGACAGAGAGGGCTCTGGGTGCCCCTTTGGGCACGTGTGCCATAGGTTCGCCATCACTGTACTAAACTGTTACTTGAAATCAATAATGAATTGTGTGATGGACAACATTCTTCGCTCACTCCTGACAAAGAAGCTCTGTTGTAATGTGGTTTATTCAGGAAGGGTATATCAACCTGTTCTGGAAGGGGCTGCAATTCTGTTAAAAGATCTGGTCTACAGTTCAGGGGTACTCACTGATTCATTTTTGTGCTATGGGGTACCTTTCACCACCTAAGATTGCTAACAGCAAACCCCAACTCAAACTCTTCTGAATAAAGAAAACCTAGTCATAATTGGTTCAGGATAAAAAAAAAGCTTATTTTCAGTATGCTAAATACCAGAAAAGTTATTAACAGTGTTACTTACAAGGCACAGGCTGTATCACCAAATGTGTTTAACTTTTAGTTGGTAATAAAACATCTAACACAACTAATCTGAGTTGGTAGTGGTCAAGAAATGGCGTTAATTTTTATCTAGTTGTAGGAATATTCTATCAACAGCGCAGGTAGAAAAAATCTACATGGTTACTAAGAAAAATGTCTGCATCTATCAGTTGTATTTGTGAATGTGGATTGATAGGAAGAAACTATGTAAAGCAGCATATTTGATTAAAATTCAACCAGTTGTTTTTAAGGAGATATATGTAGTTGGGCAACTATTTGAGTACGACTTATATTGGCACATCTTTTTTTTTCCATTTTGTAGAAAGTGGAGCTGTTCCAAAAAAGAAGGATCCATTAACTCATACTAGTAATTCACTTCCTCGTTCAAAATCTCTGGCAAAAACTGGATCTGTAGCCCTCTCAGGGCACCAAAGGACACCTAGTTATAGTGGTATATCCACTTTTTCTGTACCTAGACAAGGAACTGTTCCTGCAGTTTCAACTCAGAAGGTAAGGTGGCAGTCTGCATGCACAGTGTACCACATATGTGTCGGTTTATCATCAATAGAAAAGTTGTAATTCAAAATGCAGGAGTTGTATTTCATAAAAGATAAAATTAAGATCTTTTTATTAAGGCTCAGAAGGCCTTAAGCTCATTTCTATAGCTCAGTGACAGAACACACACTTGTCACGCAGAATATTCTGGGTTTGATCACAAGTATCCCTAGGTAGGGCTAGAAAAGACCCCGTATGAACTATTTTCAAGCCATTTTCAGTTTAGTGTAGATAGTACTGACCTAGACAGGGGTTTGACTATGAAGGTATGAAGAAGCTTTGCATTGTTTATAATATTCCAAACTGTCTTCTACAGAAAAGTGCTACTTCTGCTGTTCTAGCTCTTATTTTGATTGAGATCATGCCATTGTATCCAATGGTGGTCATTCTGATGCAAGATGGTCATCTGCAGAATGGAGAGGGACAGAATTTTCAGCAATACCCTTCTCCCATTTCATCATCATCATCATCAGCACCAGCATCTATATACCACCCCAATAGCCAAAGCTGTCTGGTGGCTTACAATAATGTAGTCCTCCACTTTGCACCAACCATTACAGAGCAGATTCGCATGGTAAGAAAAAAGCTGAAAATCACACCTCTCCCATACTGCTGATGGAAAGCTTTTGTTAGTGGTGGAGATTCAGCTGTATTCATCCCCATGCATTTGACATTGGCACTTGATGATGCTAGGTTGCTCTCAGTTAGAAAATTGCTCCAAAGATACGGTGTGATAAGTTGCTAAGTGCTTGCTTATAGGTGCTTGGAACAATGGTATGTAGGGTTTTCATATGGTCATCATCATATTTTTGGGTGAAAAAATCAGAAAAAAACAATCTTAGAAGTGTGGTGGATAATAAAAAAAGCACATCAGCAGTGGCCTGTTGCATTATTGATGCATTAATTTTGGGGGATGAGCACAAGCCATTTCCAGTTTCAAGAAACAGTGAATGTTCTGTTTGTAGGTGGTTTGTGTGACATATGAACTTGGATTTAACTTAAGTTGTTCAGTGGTTAAACAACCCAAAGTAAATCCATGATTTGTTTATGGGTTAACTCTGAATTATTTAATCTATAATGGTTTGGCCATTGTGCCAGCAGTTTATGAGCAGGACACTTGTCATTTAACTGAAAATGGAAATGGCTTCTGTGTGGCTCACATGCTCTGTGAGTCTCCACAAATAATTGGTTCATTAACCCATTATTTTCCACTATGACATGTGAACAACCCATTATGTGTTGACAATGGAAATATAAATTCCATACAAAGGATTATTATTAGGAAGGAGATTAAAAATAAATAAATAGTTATGCCTCCATGGTGTGCATGTATTTGGAATTCTATGAACTGTCCCGCTGATCTCATTTCAAAGAATATCGGAGTTTAAAAGGATGCACAAGAGAGGACCCATAATGATCATATGGTTGCAGCACTTTCCATACAAGGAAAGGCTAACATTTATGTGGATTTTTAGTTAATATTTCTGTGTGTGCTGGAGGAACAATGCATGTTGTGGAAGAAATAGATATATATTTTATTCCTCTTGTCATAGTATCAGAATTCTAAGGATTAATTTATAATGTATGTGGAATTCACTGCCAAAAGATGTGATGTGTGCCAAAAGTCATTAGTTTAACTGGCTTTAAGAAGGGATTAGACAAATTTCTACAAGAGAAGTCTGTCTACAGCTGCTATAGCTATAGAATCTCCAGATTCAGTGACAATATGATGCTGAATACCAGATGCAGAGAAGAAATATTGAAAATTAGTTATGCTTTGTAAGCGTCTTGTCTCATTCTATGAGGAATAGGATGCTGGACTTGATGGCTTTGGCTGTTTAATTCAGAAGAGCTGCCCTTATGACTCTTTTTGGTCAAAGTAAGCTTATATCAATATTTTCTTGTTCCATGGACCCATCCCATTAACTATACCTTTGTGAATATACATACAGAGTACAGAACACAGACCTTAAGCCTTCATTGTGCTGTGAGGACACTTGGTGGGAGAGAGACAAGTTTCCCTTCAGCCTTGTACCTAATGGGTTCAAATTCCCCAAATGCAATCCTCTCTACCCTTCTAGAATCCTTTAAACTGTTAGGACTCCCATCCTTCAAGCTTAAATTTTGCTTAGGGAGTAGTTACATGGAGCTGGGATGGAGATTCCTCCAGTAAAAATATACTCTCACTAAAGGAGGCTTAGGCACTGAAATGGGCAAAGGCCCAAAACAATATAAAGAAGCCTGAAAAAGGAAAGGAGATTGGGTTTGGGGGAATGCATGCTGTGGGGCTTACATCCCCAGGATCAATTTATTCTTTCTCATTCATGCTGTGCTGAAAGGAAAGTAGTTTCCCTTTAGCATTCTAGTTACCTTATGCACTGAGAGCTAGTCTAATGTTCAGCTGATACTAAAATGCTTGAAATTATTGTTTCTACAGGCTACTCCCAAAAATAATAGAGCCAACAAACCTTCTACTCCTACAACTGCTGTGAGAAAAAAGAAAGACATGAAGAGTTTCAGAAATGTGGATAGTAATTTTGCTAATCTTATTCTCAATGAAATTGTAGACAGGTGAGTAACAGCAGTTGTTGGCTTCAGTGAAGATTTGGTAATACTTTACGAACCATATTAATTTTCTATGTCAGTTCAAAGTACAATTTAGCTTGGGGTGGCTAGATAAAAACGCAGACATATTGCTAGAAAATTGAGCAGTTTAATATAAATGTGGATAATGTCATAATTGTAATGGGTTCCTTAAAGATGAAGGATGTGAACAGAACCAGCTGCATTTGAAAAGACAGACATGTCTATTGTTGCACTAATTGCTATTCTGTATCTGTTAGTGGGCCATCTGTCAAATTTCATGATATTGCTGGGCAAGAGCTGGCTAAGCAGGCATTGCAAGAAATTGTTATTCTTCCTTCACTTAGACCTGAAGTAAGTAACCTGTTTTCTGTCAGTTTTTATGCTGCATCTTACAGGCTTTTGTTACATGATGAATTGGGGTTATTCATGCATAGCAGAGGGAGATCTTTAGTTACTTAACTCACAGTTTGCCACAGCAGCTGTCAGGCATTTTTCATGTTCATCCTTTCTGAGCATTCAGGCTCTGTGTTGGCTTGATTGGGGGTTGAGAATGGAATCCAGACACTGTAGGATAATTGTGGATTAAACAACCCAAAGATAACCTTGATACTAATTGTAGGATAACTGTGAGTTCTTTAACTCACAAATAGCCCATACTGTCTGAGTTTGGATGTCATGCTGCAGTCACAAGTTGGCTGTTAAACATTGAATTAATTTGAATATTCAGATTGAATGTTATGATTAAACTGGGTTTCTGTGCTGGACTAGGACTAGAGAGATCCAGGTTCTGGTCCCCATTCAGCCATGAGAGTCACTGGGTGATTTTAGGCCAGTCACAGACTCTCAGCATTCCTTGTCGCCCAAGCTTGGTGTTGTGAGGATAATATGGAGAGGAAGAGAACCTTGTAAGCCACCCTGGGTTCCTTGCTAAAGGAAAGTTTAAAGGTGGTGGTGGTGATGAGGATTGTAATGGATTCATTCACATATAGATGAGAGAAACCTTGTTATATTCACATTTATTCCTTACAACTGGAATTAAATCACAAGTTGTATAGAGACTATCACGCGTATAGACTATAATCATGAGTATAGACTAGCAGGATTGTTAGTAGTTATGATTTTCTGTAGAGAAAGTGGCAGAGATATAGTCAGGGTTTTTTTTGTCACCGTAGCATTCCGGCACCTTTTTTTCCAATGGATTTTACGAAGTGATTAGCAGATCAGCAGCAAACATCATTAACATAGTGCCTGCTGGCTGCTTTTGTGTCTGCTATCTGTTAGTGAGATAGTGAGGGCGGGCTGCTGCTCGGCTTGGGATTGGTGTGTGTTGTCGCGCAGCGTGCTGAATGCTTACTGCCGGCGGCGACATGAGTTACGGCACTTTTTTTTTTTTTTACAAAAAAAGCACTGGATATAGTGCATAGATATAGCTCTCTTGTCCCTAAAATATTTAAAATGTTTGTAAAGTTTCATAGGCTGAAAGTTTCATACAGTATTGGCTGTGTTTATATTGTGTGCAGGTTTATACTAAGTATTAGTTACCCACATGCTGCAAACCAGAGCTAGAATGTTTACTCCCATCCAAGTCTTTTGTATGTTTCTAAATAGTGAATGTTATCTGAAAAAAGGTATTATGGCACCATCGTATACCAGCCATGCAGGAATTAAAGCAGGTGGGGGGGGGGTACATTAACTTGCAAACAAACAAACCAGGTCACATTGAACTTCATATCTGAAGGATAAATAAAGATCAGTAAAATACTACAAAGCTAAATCTCTTTATTTGTGCTGATGTAATAAATCATATCAAGACTTAGTCATAGAGTGGAGCTATTGAAATAAATGGGACTTACTTACATTGCACCATGTGCCAGGCACAGTTTTCATTTTCACACCTCAGGCACAGCCTGTACATACTGTAGATTTGCACTGTAGGTGAGGGCAGTTGCTGGGAGGAGAATACTGTTCCATTCCAGTTTTCCTTTTGAAACAACAACATATTTGATCCAACCCATCTTTCTTCTATACTTTCTTGGTATCATTAAATACTGTATAATTCATCTATTCTTTTAGTTGTTTACAGGACTTAGAGCCCCTGCACGTGGATTGTTGTTGTTTGGCCCACCAGGAAATGGAAAGACAATGCTGGTGAGAATCTGCTTTGCTCTGGTGTACATGTGGGCAACTTGGCTCCTCGCTGTGGAGTCTCCATAGGAACACTGCCCACTGTTTTGCACAGTCCAACTAGTTAGGCTGCAGGGAAGCCACAATCTTCATTAGGATCACTGTGGGGAAAGAGATTGAAGCCTTTTGCCCCTGTCAGAAAATTCTGATCAGAAGAGACTTAAACCTCACACAACCTGCAGAGGTACTGCTCTTAAATGTGGATGTATGGTTGCTGCACAAGTGGGCCAGGATGCATACAAAGGGTTCCATAGGTGCCAGTTTTCCTCCCCCATCCCCAAAAGATTACCTAATCCTGCTTTAAGCATGTTTGTTGTTAGTCCTATCGCAACCCCATGGACAACATTCCTCCAGGCCTTCCTGTCCTCCACCATCCCCTGGAGTCCACTTAAGCTCACACCAACTGCTTCAGTGACTCCATCTAGCCACCTCATCCTCTGCTTTCCCCTTCTTCTTTTGCCTTATTAAAGCATGTTAGTAACAGCCAAATTTTGTTAGACACTTGCACCTGCGAGACTGAGGGAAAATTGCAATCTTAGGTATGCACACTGCTCTTCCCCCAGCAACAAAAAAGAAACAATTAGCCAGTGATTGTCACTCCAAAGTGATACTTGGGCATCAGTTGATTGGTGCTCAGTGGCAGCAGCACAGGACTCCAGGAAAAAAATGGCAAATGAAATCGGGTTGCCATTGGAACAAGGACAAAAGACAAGACAGTCTCTCATGCAGGACTGCCACTCGAGGTCTAGGGGAGAAGGAGGGGTAGACCAACCTATGGTAAATTTGATTGTGTGTCAGACACAGGGTGCATTATGTTGTACAAACTCACGCAGTGTTTGGAGTGAGAAGAATGGCTTTTTGGGGTGCTTGTTCTTACAGACTGCTGGCTGGGTTTCAGAAGAATCAGAATTGAAATGCAAAGCAGATCAAAGGGGAATTGGGGAGGATGGACCATGCCAAAACCCTGAGATGGGGGAGGTGGACATGCTTATCTCGTTCTCAGGAATAATCAAGATGTACAGCTGGGAGCACAGGACTCTCAGAATAAGTTTCTCAGATGCAGACCAGGTAGCACCAGCTCTTGACCCCATGATTTTTCAGTAAAGGTGGGCATCCTAATTAGAAAATTGGCACATGGAGAGGAGGAGTGCTTGCTTTCAGAAAGCCCCTCCCAAAGTGGTGGGGCCTAGGAATGTTCTTAGGAGAGTTTTTGAAAGTGAATACTAGATTGAGTTCAACACACCACTCTGTGCATGCTCAGAGATTCATTCTGGGTGATTTGTAGTTTTGGTCAATAATACCGTGCAAGGAAAACAGTCAGTGGTCTTTGAATGTTCCAAGGCAGAACCTTGGCTCACGGCACGCAATATCTTGAGAGGAAAATTCCATTTGAGTACATCAGGAAATTTGTGAGACTTTAATCATTTTGATATTATTAAATTATTGATAGAATATATATATTGTCCTTAATTTTATTTAGTTATTTAACATATTTCCAACATGTCCAATAACTCACATTTTCTGGGTAGATTACAAACACTTAAAAATTAAAACACCATGGAACAGTTAAAAACTAAAATACAATAGAATAAAATACAAAATGATGCAAAACAGTAGCACAGGAACAGACATAAAGTAAAACAACCATAATTATACTGTACCATTTCTTACACATTTTAGGAGGCATAATAAAAATCTTACACTGTGCTGTAGTTCTAATTTGGCATTTTCTCTTATTTAAGGCCAAAGCTGTGGCGGCAGAATCAAATTCAACTTTCTTTAACATAAGTGCTGCAAGTCTAACATCAAAATATGTAAGTAAAAATATGTAAGTGACAATTGTATATTATGGTTGCATTTTAAACATCCTAGGAGCTTTTAATTTCAGTAGGTTGTGGTCATTAAGCAACTAGAAATATTTGCACTTGGTTTTACTACACTGGAAAATAGTGCCCACCTTTGTTTCCACAGTTGCTGTTACTGCTAGCTTTGCTCTAGTTTTTATTTTCCCTTCAGAGCAGCAGCCAGCAAGGGCCTTTCTGAGCAGTGACAGAACAATATTGTGGGCCCTGAAACAGATTATTTGAGTCATTGTGAAGGATTTTTGATATATGTTCTTGAACCAGTCTGACTTTCAAGTCACTATGAGAATAACTCCCATACGGAGAGAATGCTTTACAAAACACAAATTCTGTGCACACATTTTAAAGAGATAAGGATAAAAAGAGTCAGCAATTAATTTTACTGGAACTTGATAAAATTAATTGGGCCAGTTCGTAACAATAGTATTCCACCCTTGGAAGTTAAACAACCCTTACATAACTCATGCTCTGTTGTAGGACAGAGTTTGTTTGTTCCTCATAAACCACAGTAGCTGGGTTTGGACAAGGGCAATCCAAAGTTGGGAGCTGAATATGCAAAATACCGACTGACACAAATGGCTAATCATGGATTAAACAACCCTGGATTGGCTGTTTTGATAGTGTAAGCCAGGTCATTAAGTCATCAGTTTGGATCCTAACATAGATTATTTTCACAGAAGGAAAACTTTCTGTTTCCCTTCCCACCTCCATAGTCTCCAGTGCTCCTCAAAAAGCCTCTCTAGAAGGTTTACAGACCTTCCTGAATAATTTGGAATGCACAGGGAGTGCTGAGGGCAGTGTTTCAGCAGCTCCCCATGCCCAGTTCTGCCTTGTTCAGGAGAGCTTGTTGGGGTGACTGTAGGGATAGATAGAGAAAGGAAGCTTATGTTCCATCTTTTAAGTTATGTTACAATTCCAGTTATTACATATAGGTGTGTGTGTATATATAGAGGAAGGAGAGAGTCTTGTGAAACATAAACATAACTAGATTTTAGTCTGATCGTGTTTCAACCCATACTTCTGATATCTAAATGAAAAGAAGGTAAATCAGCCCAGTAATTACTTCAAAATTCTTTTTTTCAGGTTGGTGAAGGGGAGAAACTAGTGCGTGCTCTGTTTGCAGTAGCCAGAGAGCTTCAACCTTCTATCATTTTTATAGGTAAAACTTTAGTATTTGTTTAATGAAAAGGCAAGTGGAATAGCCGAAATTAGGAAACAATTGTGTTGCTGCGATTGTGTAAATCAGCATCATAAGTTATTGTGCACTTTATCTGGTTAATTCTATAGTTTAAAAAATAGGATATAACATTTACTGTACTAAACTGGTATTCAATAGCAAATCAAACAAATGTACAGATAGCTTGGAGCGTGAAATTAGTTGCAGAAGGAAATTGTCTTCAGATATTAAAGTGTATATCAACTGTTAGTAACTTATTTGATACTTCTAACACTTGATCATTCATAAGTAATAGATATTGGCTAACTAAAATTATTTTACTTGTCTTTTTACTTATAGCAAATGTTACAATTCTAGCATCTTTGTTTTTAGATGAAGTGGATAGCCTATTGTGTGAAAGAAGAGAAGGTGAACATGATGCTAGTAGACGTTTAAAGACAGAATTTTTAATAGAGTTTGATGGTGTAAGTATTAGTCTTGGTACAATATTAGTTATGGATGCCAAAGGCAGCTGTTTCTTGTGCTTTAGACTCTAAGATCATGCCTTCCTTTTATTGAGTTCCCATCTGAATAAAAAATAACATTGAAAGAAAGACGAGTGATCACCTGCTAAGAAAAGCCAAACTGAACTGTTGCTTTTGTGTTCCTATTTTGTTGAACTGCAGGTGTTCTCTGGTTGCTACTGACACACTGTAAAGTCACAAAAACCCAATGACCTTTTCATATTTGTATAATATGGAACTGTACATAGTATTTGTTTTATATAACTTTTACAATGGCTAAATCAGCACTGAGTAAGAGATTGTACCAGTGTATAATAAGCTTTTTTCAGGATATAGACCTTGTTATAGCCCAATTTCTGTCTCAACATCTACACTTTACTTTATGGGGGAAACATAGGTACAGTCTTTAGGAGAAGACCGAATACTTGTAATGGGAGCAACTAACAGACCGCAGGAACTTGATGATGCTGTTCTCAGGTATTTTAAACCACTCATTAATTAGCCATGCTTAGCAAAGATTTGCCTTCAGTTTAGTTGATCCTAAACACAGTAACTTGACAATACTTATGTGAAGCATGCCAATGTTTTGCATTAGGGATAGGCAACCTGGTATCCTCCAGATGGTTTGGGCTGTGATGTCTGACCCTAGGTCATGCTGACTGGGGCAGAAAGGGTTTTGAGAAGACCACCAACTGAAGAGAACCAGGTTCTAGAGATTAACTTGGGTAGGAGCATTAACTATTAAACAAATTCTGGATGAATCTGCATTGTAAATGTGTTATGAAATAGGAATATTTTTAATAGGAAAAAAGTTTTGTATCTCCATTTTGCAAATGAAGGCAAGTTCGTTATATTCAAAAAATAAGACATGGGGCCCTTCCATTCACAGAAATCCATTTTCTCCAGTGGACACTTATGCTATTAGAAAGGTAAGGGGCGATTCTTGCCCAGTTCCCTTTCTGCTATGCCATGTTCCACTGTTACACAGTGTCCCTTATTAAAACAGATTTGTGAGCATATGGAGGGTAATTGGCAAAATTTCCCCCATCTTCCATTCATTCATTCATTCATTCATTCATTCATTTGCCACCAAGTAGTTCAGATAGACTCTCTAGGCAGCATATAACAGCAAAATTACAACTAGACAATTAAAACCATCATTAAAATATAAATAACAAATTGATAATGATGATATAACTAAGATCATTAAAAATATGGCCAGACAACCACATTTACTAAAAATACAGTAAAATTATAATAAAAAATCTAAAATCCATGATTAAAACCAATTATTAAAAGAGAAGAGATATATTTTTGCCTGGCACGGGAGCTGGCCCCAGGCAAACTTTTCTGGGGAGCCCGTTCCACAGATGGGGGACAGCCTTTCTTCTAGTTACTGCTCCTTCACCTCCTTGATGAATTGCACATTCAGAAGGACCTCTTGCTCTGATCTTAATTGTTGGGTAGGTGTGTATGGGAGAAAGTGGTCCTTTAAGTTAGAATTTAGGGCTTTTTATGTTAAAACCAGAGCCAGTGTGGCGTAGTGGTTAAGAGCGTGGGATGGGAACTCAGATGATCTGGGTTCTAGTCCCCACTCAGCCATGGAGCCAACTGGGTGACTTTGGGCCAGTCACAGGCTCTCAGCCTAACCTACCTCACAGGGTTGTTGTTGTGGGGATAAGATGGAGGAGGAGAATGATGTAAGCTGCCTTGAGCCCTTTGTAGGAAAAAGGCAGGATATAAATTGGGAAAAAAAAAAGAAAAAAGCACTTTAAATTAGGCCTGGGCTTCAACTGGTCACCAATATAATTCATGCAAGATTGGTATTATATGGACCTGTAAACTAGCACCAGATACTAACAGTATGGCCCTATTCTGAACCAGTTAAAGTCTCTGCTCTGTCTTCAAAGAAACCTCATGTAGAGTGCATTACAATAATCTACCCTGGATGTTATCAGTGAATGAGTAACTGTGGCCAGGCTTTGCCTATCCAGGAAGGGGTGCAATTGGCATTTATGCCACACCTGAAAGAAGGTTCTCCTGGCCACCAAGTCCACTTGGGCCTAATGATAGTACTGGATTCCATTAAATGCAGGATTTTTTTTTTCATGAGCAGAACTCTATTCATAGGATCTGAAGAGCTAGCCTATGGTGAAAAGCAAAAGCTAGGTTTGTATACATTTTGACCATCAAACTTCCGTAGTACCAATATTTGCTCACTCAGTTAAATGTTGGTGGTTGAGAGTCAGGCTACTTCATTAGCAACCTGTGATTTACTGGGTTAGCCAACAAAGACTTAGTAAAACATAATAATTTTTAAAAGCATAACTCACATTGACTTTATTGAATAGAATTTTGAATGTTCTTTCTTCAGTTTTGAACTGAAGCTTTTATACTGTTCTGATTTTGTTGCACATATGTTTAACTGCATTTAATAAATGGAATACTTCATTATTCTTAAATTTGCATGTCTAACTTATAGGAAGGAAATCTTTAGGCTGTAGCTCTGACTGTAGCAATACCTTTATTTACTCATAAAATATGACAGTCTATATGAGGTAGCTTTTACTGTTGTTCCCCTAATACAACTTTTATATCAATGTGTTTTTCAGACGATTCACCAAGCGGGTATATGTATCTTTACCAAATGAAGAGGTATGTAATTTGAGACTGTATATTCATAAGGGAGAATGCCTTTCTGCTACTACTTTGAAGGAGCATATTTATATATATATTTATTAGGTTTCTATACTGCCCAACAGATGAAGCTCTCTGGGTTCTTCACAAAGCACATTAAGAAACCAGTAAAGATACTTTGTATAAAAAAAATGTTAAACATCATTAACAGTTCACAATACAAAATTTAAAACCACACATTAAACAGGTTTGTTTTTATATATAAGAAAGAAGAAAAATATTCAGCAGGTAGCAGCTAGCAGACCACAGAAGCTACTTGAATGTCCTGCAATAACAGATGGTCTTTATCTGGTGCCAAAAAGATAGTTAAGACTGGTGCCAGGTGGAGCTCAGTGAGGAGCTTGTTCCATGGGGGGGGGGCACTGAAAAGGCCTCTTTGTTGCCACCAACCTAGTCTCCCTCAGAGATGGCAGTTGGAGATAGGTCCCAGAAGTTTATTGTAATGGCCAGGTAGAAGAAGGTTGGGGGAGGTGTTCTGTGAGGTGTCATGTCTCCAAGCCATGTCTGTCAGGTCAAAACTAGCACCTTGAATTGGGCTTGGAAAGATACATGCAGGCAGTGCAAGCAGGCCAGAATTGGTGTTACATCATCAGATTGTCTGATTCCTATTACTAGTCTGCCTGCCATTTTTTGCACAAGCTGCAATTCCTAGTCTTCAGAGGCAACCCCACATAAAGTGCATTGCATTAATCTATTTTAAAGATCACCAGAGCATTGATCACTGATAGCAGGTCATCTGTGTCCAGATAGAGGCATAACTGAGCCACCAGTTAAAGGTGGTAGAAGGCACTTAAAGCAACTGAAGCTACCTGAGGCTCAAGTGACTAAGAAGGCTCGAGGAGCACCCCCAAGCTATGAACCTGCTCTTTCAAGGGGAATGCAACCCCATTTGAAACAGGTTGAATTACCCCTGCGTCTGGTCAGAAGACCCACCCACTAATAGCATCTCAGTCTCATCTGTACTGAGCTTTGGCTTGTTAGCCCTTATCTAGTTGATTGCACAGCCTCACCTGGTGAAGATGAAAAGGAGAGATTGAGTTGTGTGTCCTCAGCGTATTGATGACAACACAGTCTGAAACTGCAGGTGGCCCCTCACAGCAGTTTCATGAAGATGTTAAACAACATGGGTGCAGGCCTGATGATTGGGGAATCCCATACTGGAGAACCCAAGGTGCAGAGCTATATCCCTCAAGTACCACCTTCTGGAACCACTGCAATGCAGGGTCCTCACTCCCAGCTCAGACAATCACTGCAGAAGGATATCATGGTCGATGGCATCAAAAGCTGCTGAGAGGTACAGGTGAACCAACAGGGTCACACTCCCCATCTCTCTCTTGGCATAGGTCATCATACAGGATAACCAACACTCTTTCTATGCCAAAAACCAGGCATAAATCCCAACTGAAATTGATCAGTCTCATCGAAGTGTGCCTGAAGCTGGTTGGCCACAACCCACTCAAGATCCTTGCCCAGGAAGGGGATATCTGCCACCGGCCTAAAATTGTTGGAGTTCTTCTGGGTCCAGGGAGGGTTTTTTCATGAGTGGTCTCACCATCACTTGTTTCAGGTGGCCCAGGACCACTCCTCCTCATACAGAAACATTAATTACTTCCCAGGCCTAGCTAGCAGTTCTGTCCCTACTGGCTTTTATTACCCAGGAGGGGTAAGGATCCAGTACCGATGTGGTTGTATGAACCTGTCCAAGCATCTTGTCAATATCCTCAAGCTGTACTAACTGGAACTCATCAGACATCACTAGACCAGACTGTGCTGATTATCTCACCTGATTCCTTTGCTATACCATTGGCATCCAAGGCTTGGTAAATACAGGAGATTGTGTCCTGCAAGTGCCTAGTGAATATATTACAGCGGGCCTCAGATGGCTGCAAGATGTCCTTGAGGGGAGCATGTAATAGATCCCAGAGCATCCTGGAGAGTTCCGCTGGGCAACAAATAGAAGACTGAACAGAGGCAGTCAGATATTGCTTCTTTCCCACTCTCACAAATGAGTGTTAGCAAACTCTAGATTGAAATCGTTCACATGGATGCTTCAACTATGATTTCTCAATGTGCACCCTTTATAAAAAGAGCCACATAGACCAGATATATTATAATGTACACCATTTATTTCATAATCATTTTACACTTCTGAAAAATCTAAGTTTTCAATTAAAAAACCAACGTTCATATCTGGAGGTAAATTCTTGATCTTAAGCTGACAACATCTGATTACAGTTTAAGTAGCGCTCTCTGATTAGATGTCTTTACTAAAGCCACAAAATTCATTCTCCTGATTTTCACTACTCCTCAACACAATTTAATTTTCCTTGTTCGTTATCTATTACTACAGTTTTTGTCCAGTTTGTCAACTGAACACTATAGTCAAGATAAGCAAATCAGAGACTCCAGCTTATTTTACTCAATATATTGTAATAGCAGCACACACACACACACACACGTACGTTTTAAAGGGGGTAAGAATTGGAGAGTGAAGCAGCTCTGGGTTTTTGGCTGGTTGAAGAATTCTGGGAATTGTAAGACCTGTATAGGATTCAGTCTTTCTGTTAGAGCAGGAGGAGGATATTCCTGATTCTGTTATAATCGGGCAGTTTCTTCCAAGAGAATTTGGAGGCAGGACTTGCTTTAACATCTTGTCTCCACTGGTCTAGGGAACCTCACCTAATTCTCCTCCTGCCTCAGAAATAACAATGTCCTATATTACCTTTTGTGTGAAAATAAGATTTAATATTTTCAATCCAAAGAACTGTGAAAACTATGAAGTTCTATAGTAGTATCCATGTGCCCGCTCATCAAGATCTTGTGCAACCTCTTGCAGGAACAGGACGCAAATGTTGGGACAGTTCATAACTTTAACTCAAAAAGTGCTTTATATGTGTTGCACAGCGCTTAACATATGGTGTAAAAGAGTGAAAAAATCTGAGTAGAAAGGCACTTTTTCAATTTAGTCCAATGTGGTGACTTTGCAAGATGAAGATACATCATTTTCAAACAAGCTGTGCCTTGGTTTTAAGTTTTCCATAACTTAAAAAGGATGTGAGATTTGTTCTTTGTACTTACAAATGGGTAATATACTTTACAGACACGACTGCTTTTACTAAAAAATCTCTTGAGCAAGCAAGGAAATCCATTAACCCAAAAAGAACTAGCACAGCTAGCCAGGTGAGTAGTGCTCTACCTACTTTCTAACTAGCTTGATTGTGACTGTTGGTTTTTGGAGTTCTCATCCAATACTGTTATCAGTAGGAATACTGAAAATCATTTTTCTTCAATATATATCACAGAAGCTTCACCATGTGGCTTTTTATACAGATTTGATGTACACATCACAAACATACCATTGATATTTTGAAAGGCTAAATTTTAATTAGGAAGTTGATTATTGCAATGCTTAATAAAGCACTTCATGTAATTAATATTTTACCAAAACACTTATAGGCCAGCTTTTCCTCCATGTTTAATGGCTTACAATAAAAAATCCCTGAAAACAGAATAAAACAATATAAGTTTGCTTAGCTTTCTGTAAGACAATTGTCAATGTGAAGTTCTGAACTTAAGTGTTTGCTTTTCCTGTTTACAAAGAATGACAGAGGGATACTCAGGGAGTGACTTAACAGCATTAGCGAAAGATGCAGCATTGGGCCCTATACGAGGTAAGTTTGATTACCTATTGAGAAAAATGCAGTTGTGAAATAGCTAGAAAACCTTTTCCAGCTGTGTCCCTTCTCTTTTACATAGGCCAGGATCCTAAGAGCTACTTTAGTTTGTGAAAGGGCTCAGACATGACTAGTGAGATTTTTTTTACTGTCAAATGACAAACTCTCCCTGAAAGTTCTGTTCTAGACACAAGAGCACAAAGGTGCTTGAGACACATAACTAGTTGAATACAGTTTTGGATCCTGATCACTATTTGGTATCTCTTTAAGTTGAATGTTCTAAAAGATTAGTGAGAACCTGAGAGGAGTTCTGTGTTTGATTAGATAAAGGTCTCATTTTCAAAGTTCCTTTAAAAAAATAAACACAGATTGATACTGTTAGACAAGCTTTCTTATTATGCTCTTTATATGGGAAAATATCTGGTTTCAGGCAGTGTTCATTGTTACAGTGTACAATGTCAGCCCTCATGGACTGTTTTCAATAGGACCATAATCCTAGCTAGTTGTTCAGCAAAAATAGGCAAGCTGCATGCAGTTCTCAGACTATCCATGTGGCCTGCTGGTGTTCAGTGCCACCACCCTTTTCTGAATTCTTCCCCCCATGTCACAACTAATAGGGATGAGAACACACATAAAAGATTATATAAGAAGATCCTCTGGAATAACATGTATTATCATTAAACAACATTTAAGATTACATGGGATGTTGCAGGCAGAATTGGCTAACCAATCATATACTGACAGGCTTTTTAAAAACTTTGATGCCTCTTTAGATCTTGGCCTGTAGTATACATTCTCTGGGTGGTATCCAATTAGCATCCCTTGCCAGCAGAACAACTTGGAACAAGAAGAGAGGGTAATCCTTCCTTTTTATCTGCAGCTCTTTGCACACCCTCCTCTGCCCTGGAGGATTAAGGGTCCCTCTGGAGCAGATTTGTAGGGGCATGAGGGAATTGTATAGGAAGGAAGGTCCTGTTTCCTGAGAGCATATCTGCTTGTGTAGTGTTGGATTCTACCCTGTGTTTACACATGCCAGCACAAATAATTTCTTCCAAAACATTTGGCATTTCTTTCCATAAAGTTATATGTAGCATTCAGTTCTGAAAAATTTGATGAAATATTGCTTTTAAATAACCATATCTGTTTCTCCTTATCTCATTTAATATTTGCTTAAGTATACTGATTTTAATATCTGTTTATATAGAATTATTGCTTCTTTAAGGTTGGAAACTGGTCAAGGCAGTGTTCTCTTAGCAATTCTAACATTACCCTTAGTAAGGTATCCTTAGTGATTCTTCAGCTCAAGACTGAAAATATAATGGGTTGGACAAAACATGAGTGTACCTGTCAAATGGTAGATAGTAGTGCTTCAAATATTGATATATCTTGCTGAGTTTCAAAAGAACTAGATATCTCATTGATGATTTCCTTAATTTACAGAACTAAAACCAGAGCAAGTGAAGAACATTTCTGCTAGTGAGGTATGCTGTTTAAGATTTGCTTTGTAAAATAAGACAAATCACACACTTCGTTTTTTGTTCTTTTTACAACTTTTAAAAAGTAGAATACCATTTCTTGTTCTCAAATCTCACGGTAGGGAGAGAGAACCATATTTTTTGTAGCTGTTGTACAGGTTATGTAAACATGCCCACTATAGTTTCTTAAATATCTTTAAGAGCACAATGAACATGTCTAGCTTTTAATACTTTCTGTTGTAACAGTTCCTCTAATAAAGCCTGTCATCTGGTTCATCTCCGTGGCTTCTGTGCATCCACGCAGGCACAGAGCATCACTTTCTGAAACTTCTGTAGCCTGAAACTTTTATAGCTGAGATTCTTTTAGCAGGAGCCTGTCTCAGCCATTACACCATGCCCATTTCTGATGTGTTTCTACCATTTCCCTCAGTTGCTCTTTGACCACCATTATGGCAGCTTCATAAGAATATTTTTCATCTGCCAGGTGTACTTTTTTCTAGAGTTGAGCCTTTTTCTGGATTTTCCTCACTTTTCTCAATCTTCTTTGTTATTTTTGTTTGTCTTTGCTGCTGATCGGGAGATTGTTCAGGTCCTTTGTTAGGCATTTGGCTCTTAAGGGCCCTTTTCTGTAAATATGTGAAGTGTTGCAGTAAACTCCCACCAATGGCTACGCCTGTGCTTTGCCTTCTTTGTTTGGGTGAAGGTCAGGTTATTGATGCCTGCCTGCATTGTCAGGCAGCAGGCCCAAAGGAATACCACATGTGGATCTGTGGAAAAGAACCCTTCAGGCCATGGATACACTGAGGCCAATGACCTGCATACCACCAGATGGATACCAGTAATCTCTATGGCAAAACATCTCACAAAGAAAGCCAAGACATCAAAGTCTTCTGATTTCTCTAAATCAGAGACACATGAGGCATTTTAAGGACAAATCTTTGACAATGTTAGTTACTATCCATACCAGCTGATGGAGGTGTCAGTATTGAGATCTGGTATCTGTAGTGACTATGTCAGAGGGCAGGATCTGTGATGTTTCACTGTCAGGGGACTTGCAAGCAAATCCTAGTCCTGTCATCTCATCTTATCCACTTTATCCATTGACAGAGAGGCCCAGTGAGCGAGCGAGCTTACTTGCTTATTTATTTATTTATTTGGAACACTTATATGCCGCCCCATTCGCAAAACCCTTCCAATACAAATAAATAACTATGCAAATATATAAAATACATAAAAATCTGGAGACATTCCGGCAAAAATATAAAATCAATAAATAAATCCAACAATTAAAATGATGTTTAAATAAAAAGGCGCCGAAAAGCAAATAACAACGGTGCCAGGCAGACCTCTCTGGGGAGCGCATTCCATAATAGCTTAATCAGCTATTGTCCAGTTTGCCATAACACTGATATGCCAGACAGACTGGCCCTGTGGAGGAGCTGTTTTTGATCCCTGGCATTGGAGTGGAACAAACAGGTTGACTGGTCATTTCCATCTAGCCCTCACTATTACTGTGACAACTGAAGACTGCCGCAGGAGTGGGACTACTATTTCATCCCTCAATACCATGGAAAACCTTCCTGTTGGTTCTAGTACAAGGACCACCTAGCAGTTCTGACATGTCCTTTTGCAGCCATCTTCCACCACCTCTGCCTAGGACAACCTCAACAACTGACCGCAAACAGTTGTATTAACAGCATGTTTAATGCAAGAAATGCTCATCACACCCAGCCTACATACTCCACTTCCCATCAATTGGACCCTCATTGACGGATTTTGACTTCTGGCCTTTGGCAGTGAATTCCCTTGGCTATGCATCACCCAACCCAAATTCTACCTACCCACACTTGTCTCAGTGGGTGTGGAGCACACTGCAGATACCTCACCCTCCAAGGGGTATGGAACTGCCCCAAGTTGCTAGCAGTAAAAAATAAAAAAGCACTGTGGGCTTTTGGGACTACAAAAGCCCAACTACTACAGCATGACCAGCAACACCATGGCAGTGATTTACTTGAATTAACAGAGTGGAATGAAGTCGGTGCCATTGACCCAGTTTGCGATGAGGATATGGACATGATATTTACACAGGAGCATTTCTATGACCGCTCTATAGATCACATTGACATACGATAATCTGGCAGATGGTCTGAGTTGTTCAACACAAACTTCCATGGATGGCAGAGCACCCTAATAAAATAATTTAAATTATTAATACTTTATAATACCATTTATATTCTTACTACCACCACAAATAATTTTTGAGGCAGAATTTGTGTTAATACAGATGACACAATCTGCTCCAAGTCTTGCACCTGAGCCAAATTAATACAAAATTCTCAAGGGAATACTTTCTTCCTAAGGTGGTCAGAGACTCTGTTTTACCTCTTCCCTCCTTTCCTATTCTGAAATTCCTGGTAAAAATCCAGCTCAGTGGCATAAGTGATACTCTCATCACTCCATGGTGGCTCAAGTAGACCTGGTTTGTCCAGCTGCTTTTTCATCTCCAGCCAAACTTTCCCCAATAAAACCAGACATCATCTCTCAGGAATAAGGGAGGATTCAGTATCCTGATGTACAGAGCCTGAAAGATCTTCCACTAACGTCTTTTCTGAGTACCTCTGCACTGTGCTAAACACAGCATGAAAGTCAGCTGTATAACTTTCATATGAAAGGAAATGGAAATCTTTCCCATCTTTTCAGACTCAGTGAGGATTCAGTCCTCTCTGAAGTCCAGTCAAGCACATGTGGTCCCAAGGAAAGGGATGGACAGAACAGGAACCTGTTCGGAATAGACATACTATGGTACTTGTGAGGAGGGTTCCTGCCAAAAGATCTTCAGCTATAGAAGTTTCCCAAAGTGAGGCTCCATGCAGACACAAATAGATAACCACTTGAAGAACTATTGTTAGAAGTAAGCCACCTGCCTTTTTGTAATGAAACACTTTATAATGAGAATGGCTTTGGGTGTTTAGCCACCTGTAAATCAGTAGTGGGAAGATTTAGGAGCCCAAATGTATTTGTGTAAGAAATCAATTTCTTGCCTAGGAGTGGGTATGTTATGGTAGGTTATCTTGGAGAGCCCTGCACCTCAAAATAAGGTGCTTTCTGCCAGATTTTCTCAAAAGGTTTGATAACTTTTGCTAGGGTTTAATGTGTACATGCCCTAACTTTGCATTCTCTCTCTCTCACCCCAGCTAGAAAGCAAAGAAAAAATATACATCAGGCACAAGTTTTAACCCAATGTTGTCTAGGCAGCAAATATCCCTATTGTATCCCAATCTTCCTCTATATTTCTAAAGAGCCTCCTGCCTAAAGGCTTTATATGTAGAGAGAAACTAACAGAAAAAGAGTATGTGTGTCCGTCTGTCCCCCCCAGTCTGCTACCAGTGGTTGTCCTGTGCAGCAACAGCAGGCCTTTGCATGGGCAGGAAGGGGTGGAATCATGGTTTTATCAGACAACTCCCTGGTCATACAAAATTTCTGCACCAAATTCTGGGCAATTCTTCCTTCCCACAGCAGACCCATAAGACACAGTCCCCAGGGTTTATTAGCTCCCCATTCAACTGCAAGAGGCTGTTTTAGATTACAGGAAGTTGCAGGCGAAAGGGAAATACTAATTGCAGAAACTGTCTTCCATTTGTAATGTTGGATACACTCCCCAATGTTTAAACCAGTTAAATGTCAGTAGAGAGCCAAAATAATTCCCAACAGCCCAAGATTCTTGCAAGATTTTTGTTCGTATGTATTAGTACCATCTAGTGGAATAAAGGTAGTAATACAAAAATACAATATGGTTTTGCCTTGTGCTGTTTTTCCTTTGACTGTGAGTTTTGAAAGTTTAGGTTGCAAGTCAGTGTTGGTTCTACGAGTAAACCTATTGAAATAAATGCAACTTAAATGAATTTAAGATTAGATTCAACCCTTTCATAGCTAAATGAGGACATTTTAAAGTCAGTTTAAATTTTTGGTCCAAAATTCATTTTGGATCAGGCATAGTCTATAGATAGTTAATATAGAAAGCTTTGTTTGCTTCCAGATGAGGAACATCAGATTGTCTGACTTCACTGAGTCCTTGAAGAAAATAAAGCGCAGTCTCAGCCCTCAGATCCTGGAAGCTTATATTCGCTGGAACAAAGACTTTGGAGACACTACGGTTTGATACACAGCCTTGTCAAAGGGAGGGGGAATATTGCCAGCAAAGGACAGTTGATGCAAACTGCTGCTGGAATGCAGCCAGAGTTTACAAGACTTTTCAGAACTCTAAACACCTGCACTAAAAGATGGACTCATCTTACTGAAGATCACATTTTTTAACATCTGATTTATGCCCAGGGCACTATAAGACAGAGCACAATAAGATATGTGGAAGAACTCTAGCAATTAAATTAAAGAAATGTAATCTGTATATTTTGTTGCTGTTTGAAATATTCCAGTAGCATTGTCCTTTGGGAAAACTTTTTTTAATTTGCTGATTACATTTAATTTTGCTTTGCTCCTCTTCTCGTTGAGAGTGATTCTCATTTTCTTTTTTTATGTATCAATAAAGTGCCAAATAAAGACATTCCTTATGCATCAGGAAGGCTAGTATTGGGAATGCCATTAAGCTTGAAAGTCCACAGTGCAAAGTAGTTGGCCTGCTGCCCTGTTCCAGTGAAACTTTACAGTCAGTAGAACAGTTCAGAAAGAAATCTTTCACAAAACAACAGTGACCAGTACAACCAACCGAAACACCAAGGCTTCAGCTTACCAATCTTTGTCATTTATTTCCTGCAGTATTTCTCTAATGCATTTATAAAGTTTCTATGGTAGGATAATTGTTCTTATATTGTAGACCAAGAAATAAGAGTAAGTGGTATTAGCTGTCAGATGAACTACAGTGTTTCTTTTTGGTGTTAGTTTTGTATTTACACTGACTAAATGCCAGGGAAGTTTCCACTCTGGTGATTTTCTAATCTATGCAGGTGATCATGACTCTGGTTACTTGTTTAGTTGCATTTGACTTTTATATCTTTCATGAGCTTCAGTTTGTAGAGACACAGCTGACTTTTAAAAAGTATAGTAAACACACTTTCTGTAAGTTTTTATTATATGAATACCATGTAAATGTTAACATTAAAGGGGCAGGCATACTTGTCCTTGAATGGTATGTGGTTGAAGTTTCATATACAAAATGGATAACTTCTTATCAATTACTGTGATGAAAATGCCATCAAATGAATAAAAGATTTTCTTTTTTATACGTTAGCAGTTGTGGAGAAGATAGAAAAAGAAAAATGTGGAAAAATCTGTTAAGAGATGAATTGCATGCACTCTTCAATGTCATTTTTAAATTTTTACTTTCTAATTTCAAGTATCTAAACGACCTTATTATCTGGAAATAGGGCAGCCACAATTCTTTTGAGAATATGTTGATCTTTGCAGTGAAGTATGACACTGCCTAGGTTGCAATCCTGTGGCTGGTAGATGCCCAACTCTGTCCTTGGAAATGTGCTCAGATATTGGAACTGGGACTTGGAATTTGGAGCATCCTTCCCTCTACCCCTTACTGCTGGTTCTTTCTATGAAAGCTGCAGCGGCAAGGTAGCAAGAGTGACTGGGCAGAGTTCTAGTGAGTTATGTAGGGATAAGTCATGCAGTGTATCCCGGTGGTGCCTCAAGCTGTCCTCCTCACAAGTAGGAGCCCAAGATGTAGATGGGTGAAACTGTTTAAATCTTTTGAGGACGGAAGTAAAGAGGTGCTTGCTCATTGCCTCCACAGTTTTCCTATCCTTGATAGGATACTCATAGTCCTGAGTTTGGAAGGTTACAAGCATCTCCATTGGGTTGTGCCCTTAGTGATTTTGAACTGAGATGTGTTTAGGATTTCTACAGAGCCTTTTTATCATTTGCTGGATATCTTTGAAGAGATCATGCCACAAGTGCAAAGCATGCTAGAGGCACAAATGAAAATCTAAATACTTAGATTCCAAAACTTAGAGCGATTGCTAAAACTAACAAGATTTGTTCAGGAACTGCAACTGAATTTAAAATTAATACTGGCTCTTAATTAGGAGACAGAGATACCTTAATGCAGGAGTGCAATAGATTGGGATCATAATATCCAGATGTTTTGGCCTATAACTCTCTCAAGTTCTGAGAAATGACTGTGCTGGCTAGAGATGATAGGTTTTGTCAAACAAAATTTCTGGAAGGCCACCAGTCACCCATCTGTTTTAGACATGAAATTTCAAGGTAAATTAACTGTGATTCACCTGTTTTGGAAACTTGAAAAAAGTTCCTACTGACACTGGATTTCATTAATAATCCACCTCTAAAGTTTTATAAACTTTTCCATTTCTGTTTGCACTGAAATTCTAACGCATATGGCATTGTTTCCACCTTGGGCTAAAATGTGCAGTGTAAATTAACTATGGACTTTTGACCTTCTCTGATACATAACTAGCTACAGTTTTAAATCACCTTTCCATTTTCCTTCTGTGAAATAAAGTTAACATTTTCCTGTGTTTGAAGGAAGATATATTGTGTAGTATCTCCCCCATTCCATTACTTGTAAAGTAGACCCTTTATGATGGCACAAGTTAACTACTTACATAAAGTGAAAAATCCTATGTATAAGAGCTATTCATTAAATTAAGAATACTTGTCTGTTCATCATACTTCAAGTTTCACTGTGGACCAGCACTGGTGTGGTAAGAACAAATTATTTTGTGCAAAGTGGCTCTTATATTGATATTGTATCTTAAATGTAGGTGTTTAAGTGAATAAGGTTTTAACCTTTGGAAAAATTTTGCTTGTGTAAACCTGCCAGATCATCCTAGCCTAAATTCCCAAATTAGGTTTGGCTAGTTCTAGAGCACTTCCCTTTTAAAATTTGCTTTACTTTTCTGTTATAACTTAATCTTGTGGTGGTGTTCTTCAATAAGGGAAAATTAGCAGAAATGCTATTTAAAAGTTCAGACAGTTCAGGTTTTTGAATGTATGGCAATCATGGTTACTGATATAAAGCAGGGGCAGAATTCAGTGTTGTGCAAAGTGGCTTTTTCTTCACCCCAACCCATATTCACCAAAAATCTGCTCCGAGATTTATCGATTGGAAGGAGAGCTCCCATTCCCATTCTGCACACAGAAACCATCAGTGGAATGAGTTAACTGATTTCTACCCAAAGGCTGAAATTTGTCTGAATCTTGCCTTCATGAGACTGAATACTCTTCATGTTCAGGTTTGTAGCCAAGGCCTGACTAGTTTGAGATTGTGTAGTTATGTAAGAAAGACTTGTTGCTGCCTGAGAGTGCCCTCTGAAGGCAATATCCAGGAAATATGTGGAATAAAGTTCATGGTGCTTGAAGGTTGAACTACCAATTAGATTGAGGTATATTAAATACTAAACTGGGAACCACTAATCTATTGCATAAGATGTTTTTGCAGCTTACGTTGGGAAGATTTCAGTCACTTAATTGAACAAAAGACAGCTCCATATATCTATGTTCAGTCTGTCCTTCTATGCTCTGTAATGGCTTTGGGTATTCACTATATTTTGGTTGCATCACAGGAATTTAAAAGGATTTAGTTGGGATTTCATGTATATTATGATTTGAGAAAGGAAAAATTTTCTTTGCAGATCATCCAAAAGCTCACTTACAGAAAATATTTCCACATTTAAATGCATGGTGAGGACAAGTAGTGGCTAATATTACTTAGTTTGAAAGAAGATAGGAACATTATTAATGCATTTTTTTCAAACTGCAGTTAAGCAATATGATTTGGTCCTTTCTTTGATTTCAGTAATGTTAGTAAAAGTAGTTGTAGGATAATAGATATATGGGCCTTTCAGCCTTATACTATTTTAATAATTCTTTTGGCCATGGTCTTCTGACATTTTCCTGGAAGAAAGTATATTTGGTTCCTATTGGGTTGAAAGACATGCAGGTATTAGTGTGAAACTGGTAATAATACTTTCTGTGGTCCAAGCTCAAGATGGAATTTATTCATTCAGTAATGTACATATTGCCATCTGTGTGTGACCGTATGAAAGATCATTCATTAGAATACTGGACCCCTAGGCACTTAAAGGGAAACTGCAAAAAACTGAGATCCCTAAGAAATGTATTTGGGTATTTTTAGCAGAGGGAGGCATTCATATTATAGATTACACTGATTTACTCCCTGAAAATACTATTCCACAGCCGTCAGATTTAAAATCAAAGGGGCTGCTAAAACTAGAAGTTGCTTCACCTTGTCCAACTGTTCAGCCAACAAGAGATCACTTTGTATTGGTGAAAATATGTTTTTCTGAATGTTAGGCATTGCTATTCAGTATCAAAATATGAAATTTTATTGGGAAAACAAAACATGTAAAAGCATGGAAAATGTTCTCATAGGAATGGATTGACAAATTTGATTTTCCTCAGTAACATGTTGTACTTTGTCTTCATATTTAGTTTTCTATTACTACATTCAGACTCATGCCTTTCAGATCTGTTGTCTGTTACCTTTTGTTGGTACTATTATGTGATAAGATCATGGAAAGATTTTTTTGACAAATACTTTCATATGGTTTCTCTGAAAAGAGACTAAACTCTTAACTCGAATGTAAGTTCTAATTAAATAAAAATGCTGAAACAAGCTTTTTAATTTTTATTACCTCAATTTTGTTAGATTCTAAATAAATAATAGAAAAATTCAGTTGCCTGCTGTATACATTATCTAAATATTGTAAGCAAGTTATGCTCTTGTCAGATGAGTCATGTTCCTAAATTTAAGATCACATTTTTGGTACTTTCCACTTGATGCGAAATGCAACACCCATCTAAATCTTTTTTTTATCTAAGTACCTTGGTTTGATTTGTTGTCAAGATTAAAAGACTAGCTTTTAAGACTCTGCCTCCGTCTGTCCGCTCAGCGAGGCAGCCACAGTTTACTCAGAGAAGGCCTGCAGCCTAGGGACGTGACTCACATAATTAAAAATAGATTTAAAAAGTTGTATTTTTCTTACCTTCAATCCTTTTTAGTGTCTTCGTTTCTCTCTCTCTCTCTTCCACAGCCCTCTCTTTTGTTTCCCGCTCTGTATATGCATGCAATTTGGGGGGGGGGGGGGGGGCCAGCACACGTGCAGTTGAGCCATTACAATTTGGTGCATGCGGCGGCTCTCTGCTCAGTTTCAAAGAACGCCTGCGCCAGCTCAGAGCTTTTGGACTCGCTCAGAGATTGTTTTCTCCAAGCGAGTCCAAAATCTGAGGCGGGCTGGATTTTGCCCACAGGCCATAGTTTGAGGAACCATGTGTTAGTCCCAAAAATCTGAAGTTAAGGCTATTTTTCCCATGGGTTCTCTATTTAGAGAAGTAGTCTTTAAAACGTGTATGAAGAGGCCTATTGATTAGGCATTAAGTGAGAAGCATAGCGCTACATTTTTAAAAAACTGATTTTAAAGCTTTATAGAAATTGGATTTTTACTCCTAATACATTTTTCATACATTTTATCTGCTGACATTGCCATCCATCTTGTTATCAGGAAGAAACGTTTGATTCCTCCCTGTACTTCGTTCTCCATATTTACCAGTGCTGAGTAACAACACTACTTGAACAAACTGGCTTTCAACTTATACCAAGGAGTCTGTGGAAATCCTGTTGTATGGGTAAAGACTGGATGTGGGCTAACAAGAGAAGGCTCAGCTCCAGTAATTACTGCTGGTCTGATCCAGAATTATCCTATGGTCTATTCTGGATGGAAATGCATTTCATCTGAAGGAGCTGGTGCAGAGCCTGGAACAGTGGGGATCTAGCATTTCACCTGTACATGAAGGTGATTGTTCTGGTTGAGAACACCTGTACTTCACTTTGGTTGGGGTATCACATTTTGTTAGAGGAGGTGGATCCAGACTGAGCAACACATGGCTTCAAACTTCCGTATTAGATTACTACAATGTAATGGGAATGCCTTTGGAAAGTGTTTGGAAATTTCAGCAGCTTCAAAATGCATCTTATCTGCTGTCTACAGACCAAATTTTCCCAGTCTACAGTAGTTTTGAAGCTAAAATAAATTTATTTAGTTCCCAGATATCTGAAAAACTGCCTATTTCTGTATAGGAACACAGAAACAAAGCAAATCAGAAGGATCCATCCAGCTCTGCTCATGACATGCCTACCATTTTTATGTCTAGCCTATCCTTGAACACCCTCATCAATGGGGCCTCAACGACCTCCCGTGGAAGCCCATTCCACACCCTCAGGGTCCTAACTGTCAGGAAGTACTTCCTGGCATCCAAATTGAACCTTGGTTCCCTGAACTTTGCAAGTGCAAGACCTTGCACTTACCCGCATTGAATGCTGAATGAGCTTGCCCATAGTTTGTAATCATTTTCTCAGGCCTTGCTTTAGGTCCCACCTCAAATAAAGGCTAAGCTGATGGAAAGGGTCTTTCTTGATTTGAGGCAGCACCCTGATAATGAAAATGTGCTAATGTGAGCCTGAACTTTTTCTTCTTTACACTGGGCAATAAAAATGGGGATAGCTTAGTGGTTAGTGAGCAACACAGCTGGTGTTAAACTTACTTTGTTGTTCTGTTTTTAAGTGTATTGATTTGTGTCTAAAGGAAGCCTTATTTGGAGTAATCCCTTGGAAAAAAGTTACCTCAACTTAAAATGCCATTCTTTTCAGTGAATGTGCTGGATGGGACTAACACTTGCATTAAAGTTTAATTTTAGAAGGGAGAGATATTGTACATTGCCCTAATGGCCAATGGGCAGCATAAAAACATTGTAATAAGCAGTGAAACTACTTAGCTCTTCAGTGAAAGGTCTGATTCACCCTTTAGTCATCTACCTCAACACTTTCTGGCCTTTTGGTGTCATAACTCAACACTCATCTCTAGCCAAGTGTTCATGCCCAAATCTATTCATTTCCAGAGGCTCTATAAGTCTAGTCTTCTCAATGAGGTTACACAATGTTCTACAGATTCCTAAATTGGCTTCATGGTTGCCCCAACACAAATTCCTCGTGCTTGTTTTCAGTTTTCTTTATGGCCTTGCTCCTATCTTTGGTAGCACAATGTGTCCTGAGCTACCGCCGGATAGCCGGGAGCTGTAGAGCTTTTCTGCCGCCAAAACGTGAATGGATTAATAGCACCAGCAGCTGCCATTAACCGTGTTAGGGCATCCCGTGCTGAAAAAGCGCGCTGCGATGACGAAAGCACGTAATTCTTCCGACGTCTCCGTCTTCTGCGGTTTTGTGGCATAATCCTTTCGAAGTTTAGGAAGCGACCCCTGCAGGCTCTGCCGTGTCACGACAGGAACATCACCCTCCTTTTCAGGAGGCCCAACCGTTTGCCGTAGACCGTTCAGGGCTAACGCATGCGCATCTCCCCCTGCGCGCCTGCCACAGAGCTGACAAGAGCGCAGCGATTAAGTAGGCTAAGCTAGGAGGAGTCTAGGGTTAGTTCCGGCTCTGTTCCGGGATCAACCAATTACACGTCAGCAAATTGGACTCCCGCCTCGTTTTCATGGTGACGTGAAGTCTACCCTTTCCGCCCCCTTTGGGGAGCATCTCGTTCTTTAACATGGTGAGTTGCCTTCTTTTTCCCCTCAAAAGTAGGGACGGTTAAGGGCCCGGGCTCGGTTATTTTCCCGTGTGCCCACAGATGAGCTGCAGGGTGAAAGAGACGTTGGCCTTGGTATCCTCGATTGGCTTCAGAACCCCCAGTGCGGAGGTGGGTTGCTGCTCATTCGGGGGAGGGAAATCAGAGTGGTTATTAAGATTAACATCACTTTTTAAAGGTACCCTTCTGTACCTTGTAATCCTTGTAAGATGAGTATATCCACGACCATTGAATTCTCTTCCAGTGTGGATCTTTTCCAAACAGACAGAATGGTGTAGTGGTTATGGGGCTGACCTTGGAGTGAGGAGTACATTCGTCAACTTCTGGGCCAGTCCTTATAGTTGTTCCTTGAGCAGCACTTAAATCTGCAGCAATTAGCAGGTGGGATTGTTTAGTTCGTGCAGGAAAAAGCTATATTTGCTGACTTTTGATGTTTTGTAATAAAAGCCCCCAATTGTTTGAGTGAAGGACAGCATATAAAATCATAATAGTCAATGGGTATACAATCTTAGTAGTAATCAATTTCTGCATAATAAATCCGTTAAAGGAATAAGCAACTGGTAGTAGTTGGCAATGTTAGTGAACACACCTGGATTCAAACCTTTTCTCAGGCATGAAGTTCATGGGTATCCCTGAACAAGTTACAATCTTTTATTTTAACAAGCTTCATGAATAAGCCACCTGAGGTCATTAGATGCTGAGTGGGATAAATGTGGGAATACAATGACAGAACTTATGCAGCTGGTAAAAGCATGGACATTTGTACTTAAAAATGTAGCAGCAGCCTTTGTAACTGTCTTGCGTTAATGTGTATATTAACTAATCCTGAAGAATCCTAATGCTCTGTGCCCTTCCTTTTTAGACTTGATCTGCTTAACTGGGTGAATATTATCCTCTAAGTGTCACACAGCTTCACTTTGCTACAGTGATCATTGCAAGTGGAATAGTATAAAGGGTAGCATTCTCAAATCAAGTTCATGTTGTAGGCAGTTGAGAAAATGAAAAGTGTAGTAAAATTCTGTAAGTTTAATGTCATGATTTTTCTTGTTGCAGGGGACAATACACTTGTTTCGAAAATCACAGAAAACTCTCTTTGGCAAGCTAACACAGGAATTTAGATTAGTAGCAGCCGATCGAAGGGTGAGAGTTTTCTTTTACAATGAAGAAAAATATTCATTCTGTTTCATGACATTTCAGAGTAAATTTTCACTTGTGTATATAAGAATAAATTTGTATAAATATTTATTGAATTTTTAAAGTATATGAGATATATAAATAGTCGTCTGCACTGTTCACTGAAGAGTGCATGACATTTATGAATGATGTGTCATTACTTTCTTCCAAACCAACTCATTGCTTTTGATATGCCATTTATCTTGTGTTGTAATTCTATGCGTGTTTAATAAGAAATAAGTCTCATTTAGTCCAGTGGAGTTGCTTCTAGGTATGCATGTCCAAGCCTGCAGCCTTGAATGTTATGTATTTCCTTGCCTCTATATCTTGGACATTTGGATTATATACTTAATTTCTCCTATGTGTGGCTAACTGTTACCTTTCTTTGGCCACATACATGCATGCCTGCACAGTCTGTGTGAACTAGATAGTGTCATGTATTTCTGTATGGCTATACTCTATGCTATTAATGGTTGCGGTCCCTGACAAACATGGTGTTAGGATGATGGAAATAACTGCTACTTGTTTCTGTATATTATGTTACTGTCTCCAAATGCAATGTCAGCATGACACCAGCACATGCATACAAGAATTGGACTATTCAGATTTTTCCTCATGGACCATTCCTTCTTCTCTTCCAATGAGCCTCATGAGCTCTCAGCTGTTTCACCATAGTGTGCTCTTCCCTTATGTCACCTTCGAATCCTTTCTGAACATACATTTCAGCAAACCCTTGTTTGAATTCCCATGATAGGCTCTTCATCTCCCTTTTTCCTCACACTGTTAATTTTTCTTAAATTGTAAGTGAACTGGATAATGAGTTCCACATGTTGAACATCAGCTAGCACTACATTAGTAC